GCCAAAACTTTGCCAAATTACCCTTTGTTTTCTTTTTCTTTTTTTTCTTATTGATAGCTACATTGTAGCGAATGATAAGAGTTTGATTGACTAGGCAAATCACCGGTTGATTAGGTTCATGTTTTACGTGTGGTCATATGACCTGCACAAGAAAGGAGATATCTCACTGTATAATCGACTGTGTTCCGAGCGTAACTAAACTTTTGTAGTACCATTTTTATTTGTCTCAAGCAAAAGTACTGTATTACGTATTACTCCCTCCGTCCCAAAAATATAGTACAAATTGAGTTTTGAATTTGTACTAAAAACAATACAAAACTCAAAACTCAACGTGGACTATCTTTTTTGGGACAGAGGTAGTACTATTTATACAACAACTACTATTTTTTTTTTTTGGGACGTAAAATGTTGCTAACCTCATAATCCCTAGCCCTAAGAACCTCAACCTATAATCAGTTCAATTTATTAAAAGATCCAAGGCACTGAACAAAGGATTATTTGTAATTAGCGATTGATGTACGATGTAAATTTAGTTTTGTTAGACAACTGTAAACAGAGGGTGTCATTTCTTATGTAGTAATAATTGGTAAATTAAATTATAAATGATAAATAGTAATCGTTCAAACGTTACTTGTATACTTGTTTTCATTCTTGTTATAACCTTTTCTTTGTCTTTTTTTTTTAATCAAAAAATAATTGTTGTTGCTTTTGAGTCTTTTGACTATAAAAAACAAACCATGTGTTAAAGATCTAATCCAACATAGGAGGATATCGCAGCTGAACTAATAGTAAAAACATCATAAATCATGCAAAACCACTAACATATTAATTATCGTTAATTTCTTGACGTGGGGTAGAGTTAAAATTTTGGCGTAATATATATACACGAATTGATTGAGGGAAATTTGGTGGCAGGACATAATGAAGTAGAGGGGGAGACACAAAAACTGGGAAACGACACAACGGTATGGTTATGCCTCACGTTATCATCATACATGTTTATGATTGTGTGTTGTTTCATATGAATAATGATCATTATGTTTTTTGTCCATTTTGTTTTATTTGGTTGGGAGAGTATCTTAGGTTGGTGGCCAGCGGGATCACCGAAGAAACTCGAACAAATAAATATATTATACTCTAATAATGGATGATCATATTAGTACTTATCCAAGATGAATTATTAGCTTCCATGAGACCTCCTCCATCTTCAATTAGCAGGAAAATAAATGTGTGATGATTAACGAGGGTGTAGAAAATCATTGTTCCACTTAATTATCATGAATTAGTATATAATTTCGATCATCTCAAAATAAGAGTCAGTTATTAATATCAGAATTGATATACACATGTGTTAATGAAGTTTAAGGATAATCACGGAATAATTTTGGCCTCACAAGATAAAAAAGCGAGATAAAACACAGTGAAATATTATTAATACATGATTTATGAATGATCACCAGCCTAACATGATTTGTAAATTTCAAATTATATAAAGTTATTAAGACTAAATCATCCTAGCTAGCTAGACATGGTATCATCAAGACATGCAACATGTTTCCTGATTCATGGACCGCCTTTCGAATCAAAGAGCATTTGACAGATTAAGGCTGTATCCAATTATGCAGTTAGGGGCATAATTGTTTGTTTTAGTGCAATCCAGGAAGGAAGGAAAGAAAGAAAGAAAGAAAGAAAGAAACTTCACGGACTAATTAAATGGCAAACATATTTTTGTCCTCGTAGAATCACAGAATTAATATTCAAACCTCTATATTAAAATATTGAGTTTTCGCACCTAAGGTTTTTAATTAGGATCATTTTTCAATATTCCACCCGTTATTTTTATTTTTATTTTTTGTTATTTACTTATTCAATTACTACATATTTTATAAATAGAGAGTGACTGTAACTAACCGATGTGATTAATAATCAAAAGAGACTGACTTGTATTTGGGACCCCTCTATTCCTTCCTCCCCATGTATGAGAACAATAATTTTGTTCACAATTAATCACAATATGTTATAAGTTTGCCAAGGAACATCGAATATAACACATGAAGATATGAAATTATTGGAACCATCTTTTGTCGTCCTTTATTCGTGCTTTTGTCGCTTGATTCGCATCCATCGATCATTGCCTCGTATGTGTCCATCAGCATTGCAGGTGTAGTAGTATAGTTGTCAAACTAATGATGAATTCACCCAGAAAATTTCTGAAAACCAAATATAAAAAAGAAACAAAACAGTTCTATGATACTCTTTCTGTCCCAAAATTATTGTCCAGTTTGATATTTCATTTTTTGTACAATTTGAACTAGAAATAAAAATCCAAAGTGGACAATAATTATAGGACATATGGAGTAAAATATTTTGACAATTAAATTGGACGAAAAAAACATACATACATTTCTCATCAAGGTATGTAGTACTAGTCCCAATCTTTTTAAAGGGAATCGGCTTTTACTGCAATCCAAAAAGCTAGTATAATTCAATTCTGGAAAAGTGCAATATATTTGGGATTTTTTGTTAGATTCATATGTCGGATCACAGATGAATGCGCAGAGCAAGAGGAAGCGACGACAATTCACAAACACAGATGTCCAAAGTGCCAATGGCCCTACTCATCGAAATCCATCAAAATTTCAGGACGGAATTTGATTATGGCTAGTAAATCTATATCGATATCAAAATAGTGTGACATTCCCTTGTTAATTAAAGTTTCATTCGTCGAAAAAAATAAGGTTGAATTATAATAATAAAATGACTCGTTTTTTTTTTTTGGGGGAGGATGAATTTGAATGATTTTTCCAACATCTGTTTCGTGAATAAAATAGGAAGAGCACCCAAAATTATGTACCAAACAATAGACAAATGATTCTTCGGATTTTTCTTGATTAATAAATTTCGTGTGGTATGGATATCATATGCATGGAGAATGTAGGGCACAAGGAATAATATCCAGTCCGAATCCAGGTTGATTATTACAGCATTATGGGCATCTGATGGCAGTTTTTTTTTTTTTTTTTTTGTGCTACATCATGATGCTTTGTATTAAACAAACAAATGGTCCCATGATAATGGATCATGGGCCAAAGGCTAATTGATCGTTAAAATAATTTTTTTAACAAAAAAAAGAGAGAAGAAGATCAAGGGCGTCCTATCCCCTAATTAGGAATGTTACTATTCTCTACAACTTACCTTTTGTTCTATCATGTTTATTTAATTTTTTGTCTTGGCATCTGACAGCAGCATAATCAGTCCCTTAAGGCCTCTCTCAAAACTTAATGTCAGAGCAAGATCTTTTATTTTTAGTTCCGCCCTATAAATAAATGGTACTCCGTCTGTCCGAAAATTATTATTCAGTTTGAGATTTCACTTTTAATACAATTTGAACTAAAAATAAAAACTTAAACTGGACAATAATTATGGGACAGAGGGAGTATATTTTGATTAATGTGAGATTGATTGTATTGTCTATTGAGTTGGTTTTCGGGTCATGATTAGAATTTTGGGGCGGGTGTTAATATTCCCAACCGTTCTAACACAAGTGACGATATTTCCTAATCTAAGGTTTGTAGTAACGGAAAAAAAAAAAAATTTATGTGCAAGATCTCATGTTCAATCTAAATCGTATAAATTGTAAGGAGTAAATCATGTTAAAGAATTGTGTACATCACATCAAGTGAAATCTAGATTTTTGAATGAGTTCTCAACTTGTGTGACCAATTATTTTCAAGTGTAACGTAAAATAAGCGCAATTTGCAATGAAAGGTATATATGTACATATAGTAGTTAATTAATTATATTATTATAGAGTGAATCCCCATCAAATAATTTTTGCATAGTATGGTCCCATGATGTGCTCAGCTTGGACTAGTTAGTAGTTACCATCCAATACATTTGGAATAATTTGTTTACATATCTCAATCGCCTCATTGTATTTGGCTGTTACTATAATTTTTTTTAGGTCGGCTTCGTCTTGATCAGACACCCTCCAAAACACCACCACTACTAGCTAGTGTTTCCTGAGTCACAGAATTCATTAAATTATTCACCACATTATATTATCTTGGGTGGATTTTCTTTGTTTGTTTGTTTGTCTTTGCTAGTTTCTACATTTTTCGGGAAATCATTAACATGTTTTTGTACTCGATCAAAGATAAATATAATGGTAGGCTTGGATTTGGAAAAGCGTAAGAAACTGGGGGCAAAGCCACCCAAGGTGGTTAAAGAGTCCTTAGGTATAGTATAGAGAATCTTAACTAATCTAGGGGCTAGGTATGTTTGGTAAAAATTAATGCTTAATATTTAATTAGAAATTCTGAATTCATTGAGTAGTTATAGAATAAATAATAATCTCACTTTTATTATTTATATTTTATATTATAATTTTAGCACCACTTAATTTATTAAGACGTTCATTTTTTGTTATCAAATATGCTTAAATAAAAAATACTTAATAAATTAATTTTAAGCATTAGGTAGTATTATCAAGCAGGCTACCTCAAGCCACAAGCCCTAAAGCTTAGAACTGTTAAATACTTCTGATTTAATATGATCGAATTTAGAGCCGGAAACTATATTCAGTCTTTTTCTTGTTATAACATTTAGAGCATTATCATGTTTTATTAAACTTTATTATACTAAATATAGTTTAGAGCATTATACACGTACTTCATTTTGCAGAAACTTCGCGTATCTCTACTAGAGAAAAAATTTTAATCTTTTTAAATGACATTCTTTAGGCTAATTGTATATGTCTCAAGTATAACTTTCAAATGTACACACACAAAAAAAAAAAAAAAAAAAAAAACCTGAAAATCTTCACATCGGGTTTTCTCTGTAAGAATTCGGCCCAAACTTCCGTTGGAAAAGGAAGCAGAACTTGGGCCTTCCATTATGTTCTTTGTGACTTGTTCCTGTCAAGCCCATTAACTCAAACATCATCTTCTCCTTCTTCACCATTCGAAAATAAATGTCAAAGCCCTGGAAAAAACACTGAAATGTCAAGAATCTGCAGGAAAATTTTGATTTACGTTGAGTCAGTAGAAAATTATCTTCAACAAGAAGAGTTTGAATCAAGAAAATCAATGTTGTTGAGAAGCTTTTCTAGTTCTGTGGTCCACAAATCGTCTTCCGTTTTGCAATGGGAACGATATCCTTCCATGGCTGTTTGCTTCAGTCCAGCTTTCCTCAGTTCATTGACCACCATGAATCGTGGGAAGAAAAGGGTTCTTCGTGCTCCGCACCTAAGTCTTACTGCCCCCTTCTCTTCCTTGAATTCCGAAGTCTCAGCTGAACCCGGCCTCACTATGCCCTCAAAACAAGTAAATTTCTATCTCTTTATCGGAATTGTGAATTTTTTATTTTATTTTATTTTCCTTTTCTCAATGTCTGTGATTCTGTGCAACGAAGAAAAATGTAAAATGCTTTGGCCTGACTGAAATGTAAATTGATTATTTATAGAACTTTCAATCACTTAATGCAGAATTAGTACAGCTTATAGTATGTGTAGAAATTGTAATCACAGAAAGTAGTATTGCCAATTTGATGTGGCATGCGATATAGATATCATATCAGTCACTTTGAGGATTATGAGGATTTTTATTCATGTGAAGTGAATATGATGGTTATCACTGTGTATCATTTACTGCTATGGAAATTTGGGGCTCCGTTTTACTTTTGGTATTTGAAGCAGCTGAGAAAATGATGGATGAATAGCTTTCTTTTTTTTATGTTTGATACCTTTGTCCAGGGTCCTTTGAAACCAGGCTTGTATCTAGTAGGAACACCTATCGGCAATCTTGAAGATATAACTTTACGGTAAGGATCATGAATCTCTGTTAGTGTATCTTGTGGCCATTCTACCTCTTCTTTGTCGCCTTTCAAACTCAGGTGGATTAATATCATGTCTTTTGAAAAATACAGAGCTCTAAGAGTTTTGAGATCAGCTAATGTTATACTCTCAGAAGATACAAGGCATTCTGGGAAGTTGCTTCAACATTATTCCATCAGTACACCACTGGTATGTTTTTCCTAGATTTTCCAGTGAAAAAATGCAATCATTCAGCGATATCAATGAAGAAATCCCTGATTGTATGCTTTAGATTTTCAGCTGAGCTATCACAAGTTCAATGAATCTCAACGGGAACAACTAGTTTTGAAGAGATTGAAAAATGGTGAAATCGTCGCTTTAATTAGTGATGCTGGGACACCTGGCATCAGCGATCCTGGAACAGAATTGGTGAGTAGAGAGTGCTATCAACTCGAGTTTCTGTCCTGCTTCCAGTCATTACTAAATCATGTCGTCTCTGAATACAAATCTTGTATGTTATGGTTATTTAAAGAAAACAAATATTTTCCAGGATCAGCATTTTCTAATTCTGTAGCATACAGCTATAGCAATTATTACCCTCATACTGCTCTTGACTAACAATATTCAGCTACATGATGCAGGCCATGTTGTGTGTAAGTAATGGTATTGATGTTGTTCCTATTCCTGGGCCTTCTGCTTTAGTTACGGCCCTCTCGGCATCTGGCTTGCCGACAAATGAGTTCACATTTGGTAAGGTTCCAATTAATGGTGCTTGAATCATGTGCAAAGTGGTGCGTTTGTAATGATAATATCATCCTAAAATTTACTCTCATGCAGTTGGTTTTCTCCCTAAACATGCTGGTTCAAGAAAGGAGAGATTGACGCTTTCAGCAACTGAAGCAGCAACACAAATTTTTTATGTTCCTCCTCACAAACTTTCTCTGTTTCTTGAGGAACTTTTTGCGATCTTTGGCCCCTTAAGGTCAGTATTTTCTTCACATTTCCTGATTTGGCCTATCTAATCATGGGTGTGATGAACAAATATACTGAGAGGGACAGAGAGCAGTAGGTGGTAAGGATCCAAACTGATAAAAATTTATTCCTGGCTTTTATAGGCGATGTGTGATGGCACGTGAGATGACCAAAGTACATGAAGAGGTGTATTACACTAATCTTGTGAAACACTTAATGCTAAGTTTGTTCTTGTTCATTGTTTACTGTCTGTTAACGCACTATGAAAGCTGCATTCCTTTGTGTGTCATTGATGAAAGTTGAACAATGAAAAAGGCTGAGTCCTGTTAATATTTGGCAAGGTAGTTCAAGGTGGATTGCCTCAGCAACATGTGATAGTTATCAATGTAGTTACTGTTAAATATCTAGGAATCAGAGTCTGATCTGAAACTAGTCCGACTCCCACCATTTATATGTATGCTTCCTTACATGAAGTATTTGTGTCATACTTGCTAGTTTTGGCGAGGAACTATAGATGAAGCCAAACAAGCATTCTCGGAGAACCAGCCGAAGGGGGAAATTACATTTTTGGTTGAGGGGAAGGCTGCTTCTGCTGAAGAAACACCATCAGAATCCCAGCTGGAGAAGGATTTAGGAGAAATGATCTCCAAAGGATATAGTCTATCAGAGGTATTGCTCTATTGCACAACGTGATTACTTTTTGCTTTCCATGTTGAGTCTGAAACTGCGGTACGCTTTCTATCTGACATTGGAAGCGTAAAATACTCCTATGTGGCAAAATTATGGACTGCAATGTCAATGACTTTGTGTGCTTGTCAAATTCGTTAGTCCATGTCATCTTATCTGTATCTTTGTATTCTCATGAGAAACATATGGGGACTACCCTCAAAAGATTTGAGATGTCCTTAAAATATATATCGCAACCCCAGATCAGTCAACAGTTCTCTTTATCATTCCTTGAAATTTTAAGTACAGTGACTGCCAGTCTTCTACCATTTGAAATCTTACTGAACTGGGAAAAATGAATCCAGTTATTTTCTACTACATAATATTTTAGTCGTTCCCTTTGATAAAGAATATGGTATCAGTTTATATGATTTTGGCAAAGTAAACTGGAGCATTCTGTTTCTGCTTGGCAGCAAGATGACACATGCCAAATTCAATTTATGATGATTTGCCGTCAGTATATTGTATGAATGAACTAAAGTTACATTAAGGGTTCAGAAAATGAACTCTCTTATCAGGTTGAATACTATTATCACACTATGTACGTAGCTGAACCTGAGCTTAAAGTTTGACTATGTTTTTCTTTGATACTGTTGGAGCTAGAAATCAATTTAGTTTTATTCAATACTAACTTGGAGCAATTGCAGGCAGTTAAATTTGTGGCTGCAGGAACATCAGTGAGAAGAAAAGCTATATATTCTATCGCACTGAGGAAATTCGGCAAGCAACTTGAATCAGAGGGCGAATGATGTGCCACAAGAATAATCAATAATGTAAGCATCTTTCATTATCTTTTGAGCAAGGATATTTAATCACTGCCTTCCTGGATCCCTGATTAAGATTGTTAGCTTATGCATAAATTTCAAGTAATATTTATAATGCTTTATTCTTGTTGACTAGGTAACTACATCCAGATGCTGCTGCTCATGAAGTAAAAGCTAAGGGCCGTTTCCTTTATTCCCACAGAATCCAATGGATGGAGACATACAGAGTCAATGGCTGCAGATATTTTTTTTCCCTGGGAATCATGCGTCCCTATCATCAATCACCTTCTTAACTCCCAGGAAATCTGAAAAATCATGCAGTTAACCATGTTTACCGGCGACCAAGATTTGCTTGTGTCAAAGGTGGTAAACACTTAACAGTATTAGGTCATTTTTCCCGGAGAATTTCGGATAGTGGGTTGGTCGTTTTTGGAACTTTCTTTTTTGGATATCACCTGTAGGTTGGCCCAATGAACTCATTGTTTCACGGACTCTTAAAAGATCATAGTTAAGTAATCAACACAACCAACTTTTAGTACCAAAGAGGAATGATGTTAAATCATTGACAGCTTTAGACTTGTTTTTTATCGTACAAAAATAGGTTCTTTCGATCTTATCTTTCCAATCTGGATGTGGGTTGGGATTATTTTCTTTTTCTGGAAAGAAAAAAAAAAAAGTGAATCTTGGACTGCAAACAAGGTGAAAATCACTAGACTGAGGCATTAACCATCCATAGCCCAGAAATTTCAAAGTACTCAAAAGCTTAAAGTTACACATAAAAGAGCGATTAACCCGATTCCAATTTGCTACGTTACTTTTAGGCGTTGCTTAAAGTTAAAACATGAAATGGTGCAACCATAATCTAGTATAGTACCAGATTAGTCCATTGCATTATATTATTGTTACATACGAGACTGGTTTTCTTTCGAAATGAAAATTCCAACGTAAGGACGCAGTAAAGAAAGGTAAAAAAAAAAAAAAAAGAAGAAGAAGAAGACGGTCGAACAGATGAAGAAGTAGGTAAAATTGCAAATTGTCGTGAAGGTAAACGCCGGAATCATATACGTGTACACGAAGGGGACCAAAATGTCGTGTCTGCTGCTTTCTTACTTGGGGTTTTACCTTCTCTGGCACTAAACAGAAGAATAAAAATAATAAAACATTTTCTTATTTTATGTTTTTTTTTCTTCCATTTGATGATGATAAGGCATCCAAAGAATAAATGTTCTTCTTTCTTTGTATCTGCCGATTCTTCAGCTTACGATACCGCCTGGTAGTAGCCGCCAATGCGTGTAAGATTCGGCACTGAGAAAACCCAAAATAAAAAATAAATAAATAAATAAAATAAAATGAAATAAAATTTTTGGTTTGATCGTATCAATGATGAACAAGTGTCTAGTTTGAAGACGTGTGAGTTTGTCATCTTCTTCACCTAACCATCCGTCTCATATACAGCTATATGTAGTTATTACATAACTAAGCCAAAGGGAAAAAAGAAAAAAAACCCATAAATTCAAACGAAAGGAATTCCTCCTTCAATAAACCAGCAAATTAATAAGAACCCTTTTTCAAGTTTGATCAAAGTTAACGTTTTTAACCCATATTTTTACATATGTTAAAAGATTCGTAGGTTGGATTTGGTGATTGGTCCGAACTGTAAGTTTTTTAAAGTTTGGTTCTCCATGGATGACATAAAGAATGGATTTTTATTATTATTTTTTTTTGTGATTGAATTATGGAAGTTGGCATGAGGTTGTAGTAGGACAGTAGTTGATGTCATTTTCTTTAATAAAAATGGAAGGAAAAAAAAAAAAGTTTTGTTTGATAATTAAGGCCATGATTTTCAACTAACGGGTTGGAGCTTGGAAAGGCTTAAACTTAAGTAAGAGTAAGTGTTTAGGTCCACCAACTGGTGGTTACGGTTTCAAAACACCCTAACCATCAAGCTAACACTTGCATTGACAAATCCCCCAAAACAACCACTCCCCTCTATTTCTATGTTTGTTGTCAAACAAATGAAGTTTTCTCATTAACAGAGGGAAAAAGAAAAAAAAAAAAAAAAACAGAACAATATCAAATTTGATAATGATTATAAAAAGGAACAGAAGCTTCTAGCTGAGAAGTCCTTGTTCCTGTGTGATTGTACTTGTTTGTCCCCACGTGAGAAAGGTGGAATGATTCATTGGTAATTACTTACTAGTTTTCTTTAATCTCTAGAAATGGAAGTTTGGAGCTTTTTGGTTGCTGCTTTCTGTTCAATGGTGATTGGCGTCCCTTGAATATTTTTTTCTCTGTTTTTTTTAATGGTTGGTGTCATTGTTTAATGATAAGGAGGGTTGGTGTGTTGAGGATCTTTGGATCAGTTTTTGTCTCCATATGAAAACAAGACTTGGTTTTTGAACCAATTGAAGTTCGTGTTGTGTTTTCTCCATTTCTTTTCCAATCACTCTCTCTCTCTCTGTGTTTTTTTTCTGTATGCTCCCTTGATTCAGGGCACTTCCATATAGGATAGGAAAAGCTTTTCTTTTCCAGGTATTCTCTCCTCTTCTGTTTTTTGCCTTCTACTTCCTTTTTCTTGTTGGTTTTTTTGGTTCAGAAAATCATTGATGAACATGGAATGATATTAGTAAGAAAAACATGTTTCTGACATGGGGGTTATGATCTTTTTTGAGAAAGGCAAGTATATTTTCAGGATTTCTGCTCTTCTTGCTGTTTTTCTTTACTGCTGATTTTCAAGCTTTAGGCTTATATATCTGAACTTCTTGCTGCTTGAAGTTTTACTTATCTATGTTGACATAAACAATGATCACTTTTCATTTCTATTTGTCACTGAGTAATGGAATTCATGGTTTTCAAATGATGTGAGCTTATTGGAAGTCTGATAATCATTGAAATTTAAGAGCAGCTAACCAAAGTTGAAAAAGGGAAATCTTGGGAAAAAAAAAGTCAGAAACAGCAAGAAACAATAAAGAGGGTGGAGTTTGACTTGAATTTTCATGTGTTTCATGTAGTGATTACTCTTTTGCTTTCGGAGTTTCAGCTTCCAACGAGTTAAGGCTATCCATCCAATTGGAAAGCGAAAGCGCTGTTTGTGACATGTGTACTATCAGGAGCAGTTGAAATTGGGTGCAGAAAGCTTCTTGTTGTCAGCTGAATTGGAACAACAGCTTCAAGATGTCTGCTTATTTCTCAAATTTAACCAGTCAACAGCAAGAAGCTCTACAGACTCAGTTTCTGCTGAATTCAAAGCTTAATACCTATCACCAATCCTCTGATCTTCCTGAAAACATGATGTATCTGAACTCGACTTCCTTGCCTGCAGCACATGATTGTGTCGAATCCCAATCCTCTGAAAGCAAAGAAGAAATGCTATTTATTGCTCCACATGGTAACACGGTAATGATGCAACCAATTGTCCACAATTTTGCTCCAAACTACTCGGATAGTAACGCGGTGGTGGTGGATCAACAAGATTTCACAAGGAAACTGCTTCATTACCAAAATGGAGATCAGAATCTTCAGCATCAAGGATTATCTCTGAGCCTTGGTAATCAGGTTGCTGAGATGCCTTCTTATCAGAACCAGTATTCTTTCTTGAGCTCTCATCATGTTGAGCACACAGCAGATGATATTCCTCAAAGCAGTGAACTTAGAACGGCCGAATACTTCTCATTTGATTTAGCTGGACCAGCAAACAATAGCTCCAAGGTAGGAGCAGTTTACGGCCATCAATCTTCTTCGATTTATCCAAAAGAGATGACTAGGGATTTAAAAATGCACGAAGAGACTGTGATTTCAGGAGCTATCTATAACTCCAAATATCTCAAGGCTGCTCAAGAGTTACTCGATGAAGTAGTCAATTTACATCAGGCCCTTAAGCCATTGGACAAAAACCATGACATCAATTCCACTGGCAATGTTGCTTCAGAGGAGACTAAGTCGAAACCTGATGAGCTTTCACCTGCTGAAAAAAATGAGCTGCAGAACAAATTGACAAAGCTACTATCAATGTTAGATGAGGTACGGAAAATTCTTCTACAGCCTTAAATTCTTTGGCTTTCTTTGTTCTTCAAATTGTGCATCATGTTAAGGGGTCCTGCATTACTGTATTCCTGTTTAGTAGATGAGATTCGAAATGAATTCTCATTCCAGGAGAACTCCTCTAAGGATCATTCCTTTTTGCCTTCCAAAAAGCAACAGTTTCCCTGTCTCACAGTTGATACTTTAACCTTTAACAAATTCCATTGCCTGCCTTCATTTCTCAATTTCTGCATTCTGAATCAAATTCAGCATATTCACAGAGGTTACATTTCCTCAGGTCAAAGATAACTCTCAACCCTAGAAATATTCTGACTGAACATTGTATTTTGAAGGAAATAATCCCCATACAGTTCTCTAGTGTTCCTGACTCAACAACATGTTCTTTCAAATATCACAGAGGATCATTTTGTCTCATAAGTTGATAAGAGCTCCATAAATGTGTACATTTGGTGTATTTTTTCCATTAGGAAGATATCATTATCCCTCATTTTGATGTCAGTGTTCCTGTAATTTTTAGTGATCACTGAATGGAAGGGTCTTATGAAACTTGCCTAAAGATTTCGCTGTGATGAATTGCTTTCCAGGTCGACAGGAAATATAAACAGTATTGCCAGCAAATGCAAATTGTAGTGTCCTCATTTGAAATTGTGGCGGGATGTGGAGCAGGAAAATCCTACACAGCACTAGCTCGTCACACAATCTCTCGCCAGTTTCGCAGCTTGCGTGATGCAATCAAGAGCCAGATTCAATCAGTGCAGCAAAACTTAGGAGAGGAAGGTGCAGCCAACAGTAATCAAGTGGTAGGATTATCTCGTCTGCGCTACGTGGACCAGCAACTGAGGCAGCAAAGGGCTCTTCTACAGTTTGGTGTAATGAGACAACCTTGGAGGCCTCAAAGAGGCTTGCCTGAAACTGCAGTTTCTGTCCTGCGTGCCTGGCTTTTTGAGCATTTTCTTCATCCGTATGTTATAGTGTATCATCTCATTCCATATTTTGTTCCCTATTTTATAATCAAGACTCCTGATTAATATCTGTCTCCTGTCTTTTGATCAGTTACCCAAAAGATTCTGAGAAAATCATGTTAGCCAGACAGACAGGCTTGAGCCGAGGCCAGGTACATCCTGACCAGCTTTGCTAAGTTTTGATTAGCTCATTCAATTATATGTCTGTGAAGTTCTTTTGAGTCTTCATTTGATTACTATGCCTGATCAAAATTAATTATCATTTGACAAATTTCAATCCCTCATTGTTGGATAGGTTGCAAATTGGTTTATCAATGCACGGGTGCGGCTCTGGAAACCGATGATTGAGGAGATGTACAAAGAGGAGTTTGCTGATATGGAAGCTGATTCTAGATCCTCACCAGAACATGCACAAGCCACAGGAAGATTGAAGTCGGAATCTGAGGTCACGGGAGAAGAGCCTAATGAAGGCTCAAGATCCTTGGGCACCGATTATAATATTTCGAATCGCAAAGTTGATGCCTATACAGCAAGATTAGGCCTCCAGAGCAGTTCTTTTAAAGAAGACAGGATGGATTCTGATATCAACAGATCACGTAGAGAGGACATAGGTAGCATGGTTGATCATAACAATGCCTGTCCGGGTGAAATAATAAGATCTAACGCGATAGATATTCGTGCTTCTGCTTCTAATGCATACAATTTCTCTATGTTGGCTGGTACAGTAGGGAACCAAGTCTCACTTGCACTTGGTTTACAGCATCCTGTGAAAGAGACCATCAGAATACCTGGTGGAACACAGAATTCATCAGGAATGGAAGATAATGCAGCTAACTCTTCATCTGTGGGGCTTGACAAAGCAGAATATTACTGTCTAGATGGCCTAAATCAACAAGAAAGATATTCCAACCCGCAACATTTATTATCTGATTTTGTTCTGTGACCATAGGATGGCCTGATCTCCCGATGAAGTTTTGCCAGTGCTGAATCTATTAGGTATTGGAAAATAAATCATGTAAGTTTTGTTGCTTCAAAAATGCTTTGGTTAGCTTACAGATTTCCAGGATTATCTGGAAAAAAGAAAAAAAATCATTCGTGAAATGGATTACCAAATGTATATATGCTCAAATGGATAATCTGTTGATGTATACTAGAAGAAAAATATGGTGGCAGGATTAGCTTAATTGTAAAGTAAAAACATACACACGTATATTCTGGTGTATTCTTTGGAGACCAATAAATCTCAGAAAAGTACTAAAGTTCAGTTCTTTAATGAAGAACATAGCATTATTGACTCAATATATGTATTCCATGCATGAAATTCAGAAAGTAGTTCCATTAATGTCATTTCATTTATCCACTGGATCTTCTTCTTGAGGGTGTTTGTTTTTTGGTTGAAATTGGTAGTGTGGCTGATACAGTTAAGAGAGGCAGGAAGCCTAACTTTTTTCTTAATACTGTACTATATTAATTTCCTCATCAGTCGGCTGTTTTCAGATGGTACAGACACTTTAATCAGCAAGTGGGGTCTTTAGTCCTTGCGGTTCTAATCAATTTCATTGACAAAATCAAAGGGACCCATGTATTAATTTTGTAAAGAATATGATATCATTGGTATGAATCACTTCCCAAAATCTATTGTAAAATCTATCAAATCTGAAAACAAAGAAGCAAAATTTCCTTAGGCCATCAGTATAGTTATACCTATGCAATGTACCTGCTAAAAGAAACAAGAAAGTGGAAAAAAGAGGGCAGATAAAATTCTATTGCAGATATCAGTTGCCAACCAAATGAAGTAACATATCTATTGCGATATGTAAATCTACAGAAAGAAGATTTATACTTTGATGGGCATCAATTCATCCAATCTACATCTATCATTTCATTAGTAGCATATGACAAAGCCATTTTTGTTAGTTTGTCTGCATATTTCCCTCTTGGAAGATAGTGAGGGGGGAAGATAATGCCATTGCCAGTGTCCTATCAACATCTTTATGAATGAATGAGAGAGCTTAACAAAAGCAGAAAAGGTTAGATATTCCCATATGGTTTAACAGATTCACTATCAGACAATCTTAAAACTGCGAGTGTGCAAAAAGACACACTGCTTTTATATCCTCCTCTTTCTTCCTTTTTTTTTTTTTTTAACTGATTCCTCTCCAAAGCCAAATTCATAAAGATGACAACTTTATAATGGGGTTTTCCTTGAAAGGTTGGAGTTTGAGCTCTGAAAGTGCTTTTTGAGTCTTCCAAAGAAATGAAACAGTAAGCATTAAAGCTGTATCATATTGCTTGCTGATTCTTTTGCTGCTCATTTTTCCCTGTCAGGGATGGAAAAGGGGACCATTTTTTTGATCACTTTTCCGGTCTTTTTCAGCATTTTCACTTGGCTTAATGCATCTTTTAGCTTTGCTGCGATTTTTGCCAGAGCCTATGTGGTTCCTAGCTTCAATAGCTTCAGCTGCCGCTTATATCCATCCACACCACTCAAGACATACAAACAAACAAAGAGGTGGAAAAAAAGGAAGGCAGGCCGGCCTTTGGAATCTTTGCTCTCTTTCTTTCTTGACTGAAACTATTGTCACATTCAAAGTGTATACAATAATATATATTCTAGTAGTATATTAGTATATACCTTTGCTCCCTCACAAGTCAAAATCTAATTAAGTTCTTTAGTTTGGTTACACCTGACAAAAAATGTGAGCCCTCTAATGATTTCTTTTTATCTGAAATCCATAATATATTTTTAATGAGTTCAAATTTGCACATGGATTTGTCACAATAATTCTCCAAACTTACTACTGTCCCATCTCTTTCTAAGCACACATATATATGAATGAGATACTATTGCAGTTGATTCTTCTTGCATTTTGCTTCATTATTGTTCCTGATTCCTGAAATGATTGTCCTTTCTTCCTAGTACCTCCAGAATCTCTTCTTGTTTCTTAACCTCAGCTTCTCTGTTTGAAGTACAATGTTGTTGTTGTTGTCCAATAATTCTATGCGGGTTGCATTTATGTGACAATTTCAGAACTTTTCTATCTTTGAAAAGCTCCGGTTTGAGAGAGCAAATTGGAATTTCTGAGCTTCTTTCTTATACTCTTTATGCATTTAGAAATCAAAGCTGTTAAGTATTTCAACTATGGTTTCACAAAACTCTCCTCCAAATCTCAATACCAGTAAAATGTACGAGTTCATCATCTCAAACTCTCAGTTTGGTGGTGAGAATTTTGAAGGTTATGCAAATGCCTTAAGTGGTGGGAGCCCATATGATTCTTTTGGTTCAATGCCACATCTTCAGTCATCTTTTGCTGAAAGAATCATTCCAAGATCCTTTGAACAGATTCTCCAGGCTCCTCCTCAGATGCCTGATCATCAGCCTCATGTTAGTCATACAAGACATTTGATGGATCTTATTGGAGCAGCAAATGAGGCTAACTACCATGCTCAGAGGCTTTCTCTGTCTCTAGGAAACTGCACTATAGTTTCCCCTGTTGCTGAAAGGCATACCACACTGAATTCATCTCTAATCAGTGACAACACAGGCAATAGTAATTACTCTTTTGGTGGAAACATTTGTCCTTCATCTTCAACCTCTTATGGAACTGAAGCCAATGTTGCAGTTTCCATCAGCAATTCCAAATACCTGAAACCTGCACAATTGCTTCTGGATGAAGTAGTTAAGGTGGGAAGTAAGGCCATTGATTTGAGTAATGAGAAATATGGCAAGAGATTATCTCGCAGCAGCAGAAAAGGGTCACTAAAACTTCGATCCGAATTGAACATGGAGTTGTTTAACAATGAGTTCTTCACTGATAAACAAGAATTGCATGCTAAGCTCTTAAAGCTCATTGCCTTGTTAGAGGAGGTATGTGATCAATATATCCATATTTACATTGATTGATTGTGATTTGACTGCTTAATTTAAGGGATTTTCATGTACTAATTTCTACATTAATCTGCAGGCAGAAAGAAGATATGAGCAGTATTACAATCATCTGGATGAATTAGTCTCATCATTTGAGATGGTGGCTGGTTTAGGGGCAGGCAAATCATACACAGCTCTTGCACTTCAGGCAATGTCAAAGCATTTTTGCCACTTAAAAGAGGCAATTGTGTCTCAAATTTATGAAACCAAAAGAAAGATGACACAGGATATGCCAAGAATCAGTTCAGATATTTCACAACTGAGCTTATTCGATCAAGAAACCAGACAAAATAGAATGTCACTTCAGCAACTCGGTTTGATCCAAGGGTCAAGACAAGCATGGAGACCAATCAGAGGACTGCCTGAAACTTCTGTTGCAATTCTGCGGTCCTGGCTTTTTGAACATTTTCTTCATCCGTAAAGTTCTCATCTTTATGGGTTTTTTTTTTTTTTTCCTTTCATTTTCAATTCTACTGTTTCTACTCTTGTCATCTGATAAGATGGTTTCATTGTCAGTTACCCAAATGACGCAGAGAAGCTGACATTGTCATCACAAACAGGCCTCTCAAAGAATCAAGTAACTATATTCTGTTCATCAGGCTAATAATTCCAGTTTGGCATGCATGCATGGTTTTTTTGAGAAACACCAATTAATGGATTTCATGGGTCCTTTTTCAGGTGTCAAATTGGTTCATAAATGCTAGAGTCCGGTTGTGGAAACCAATGATTGAAGAAATGTACAAGGAAGAATTTGCTGAGGCTTCTGTTGAATCAAATCCATCACTATCTCGAGAAGGTTTTGCAGATTCTGCCGAGGATTGATCAAGGGGGGATTTTTTTTTTTTTTTTAGGAAAATGATTTTGGTATGAAAGAAAATTTAAGGTTGAAGGTAGAATGCTTCATGTAACATCAGATCACAAATCCAACTGATCGCAAACATGAAGACCAAACTTTTGGAAAAAAAGCATAGTGGGTTCAACTGAAGTAAAGTGATTTTGAATGTTAGTTTATGGTTTAGACTTGATTGGTGTCAGTTTGATTGCAAGCAAATCTGCCCAGTTAATCTCTGCAGTATTTCCTTGAATTCTTATGATGTTTAAAACTTAAAATTGGTTTGGTAAATTGGTTTATGTTTTAGCCCATGCCGCGGTTATTTTAATTCTTGAATTACAATTACAAATACAGTATTTGATGTTATTACTATAAGTATCCAGTTAAATATTATATAAATATTAATTCTGTCTTTATACGATTGTAAAATATTTAAAAAATAATTGTGAAATGTCATAAATTGATTAATCTGGTATTATTACTACAAACGTAAATATGATTACTGATGATAGACAATGTGTGTAAAAAGAAACAAAATAATTAGATTGCATTATAACTACCAACACCACCTTTGTTGTTCTTAGTTACTCCACAACTATTGTACCTAAAATTCTAAAGGGAGCAAATAGGAGTCTTACTAGTAAGTGGGGATCAATTACGAATTTACAATCAAAAACACAAGTCAGGTGGGGAAAAGTTAAAAAAAAAAAAAAAAAAAAGGCAGATAAATAAGATTATAGGTTTAGCATCCATAGATATGCTAAATTCCAACAGCCTCCCTCGGCATGCTAAAGAAGCACCAGTTTAACATGCGAAGGTAGTAATCCTTCGATCTGTTGTTTGGCAACATCTCTATAAATTGCGTCCTCCTTCGGATTATCAACAGGGGAATAAGCAACCGGCCGATCACAACCATCGGAATTATTGGGAGGACGATCACGAGGGTCAATGACAATTCTCTCCAAGGCAACAGCATTTTCAATGAAATACTCAACAAGTTCTACCTCCGACAACACGTCCTGAATATCCCCCGATTTCAACAACTTTAAGATGCTCAAGAGACAAGGCCTTACCTTTCTTAGAAGACTCCTTGGGAACTTCCCTCACCCGGCCAGACTGAAAACCAGAAAATATATATTAGTGCACAGCTGAGAAAACATACTTCTACAAAACAAAGAGTAATAAATGCGAATATTATTACGAATAAAAACAACATACCTTCAGTACAAACTTCTCCAAGTTGGGGGATTGGATGCCCTTATGAAAGAAGTCAATGCAATCACCAGCCCCAATGCCTCAAGCATAGGAGCATTTTTAATCACCAGCCCCACTGCCTTGAGTATATCTAAGTGAAACAAGATTTGTATCTCATACAATAAGGGAAACCAATCTGAGACAAAGAGTTATCTCCAGGTGTTTCAGTGCAATGGATGGACCACAGACTTCAAGTTGTTCTAAAATTTCAGAGCTGTCCACTGCCAGAGATTCAAGAAAAAGGCAATTATGCAAGAAAAATTCGAGAACTTTTCTAGACACGTTCACGTTTTTTTAGCGCCAAATTCTGAAGGGACTTAAAGCCAAATCCACAGGAATCTGAAGGAGATACCATGGGAGAATTCCCATTACTCAGCCCAAGTAGGACATGAGGAAAAGCATAAGCCTTACTCTTATGACACGGCCTACCATCATATCCTAAAAACTTCAAATCCAGAATCTTCTTAACACTCCTTGTAGACACGTACTGTGGAAGCCATTTATCAATATGTCATTAGAGGAAAATCAAATTTGTTCAAATAACAGCGAATTCTGAATACATCCAAAAAGGTGGCTTTGTGTGATAGCAGTAGCACCTTGTTCACCCAGTTAACACACTTTTGGCGGTGGCTCTTGATTAATCTTTGGTACTCTGAATGATGTGATCGTACTTCAATCGCTTTCCGGATTTTTGCAAAGTCAAAACTGAGTTCACTTGTGGACAACCAAAGACCTATCCAACATCTGGACAAGACACTTGTCCTGGCAGCATCTTCAAATGTTAAAAGTGAGAGGATAAAAATTAGAATATCTTCAAAGAGCTGACTAATCCGATCCTCAAGTTTCTCCTCTTCCTTATCACCCTATTAGGGAAGGAGAGAGGAGAAAAAAAAACACATGCAAGAGAAGCATTAGAATCTGTGTAATATTTTACAAGTCAAAGTTCAAAACTCGTAAAGATGGTCTTGTTTGATTGTCAACTCATTTTACATTTTCACTCATTTTACCTCTTAAACACAAAACTCAATAGAAAAGAAAACATCATCCAAACAACTTTCTGATTTATATTTTAAATTCCAACTTGAAACACTTTTTGTTAGTGTAATGACCATTTTAGAACTACAAATAGTTCAGTGACAAATTTGGCAGGATTCCGTTGTTGAATGATTGTTTTTGGAAACATTCTTTTTTGCAGTGATTATAATTGACAGTATTTAATTGTTTAGTGATGACTTGTACTTGATATTTTAAAATGTAGTTCAAAATACTTTTTCTCAAAACCAACATCCAAACAACATTTTTATTTCCCATTTAGTTTTCAATTTGAAACACTTTTCACTTTTAAGTAGCAAAATAAAATATAAGTTGACGTCCAAAAAAGCACTAGGCATTATGGTTTACCAATATTTCGAGTTGAAAATCAGTTGAGACCTTTTCTCCCATCAAGATCAGAGCTTTTTTCAACAATATAAAAAATTGATAGTTTCCTAGAAAATTTTCAGAGATATATAAAACATCAAACCCTCCAATAAAAAAATCATTACAGCAAGATCAGCAAATGCCCAAAATCCATCATGTGTTAAGTGTCCCAACCGTTTTGAACAGTGGTGATTTAGGGTGGGGCCAGAGGGGCCATGGCCCCTACTGGCCCCACCCTACAACTTTATTATTATATATGTTTAATTTTTATTTATTATAAATGTAGTTATATTTAAATTTGTTGTTTTGAAAAGTTATTTTCTAATTTGGACTCAAAATATAATTTCTACTTCACTTTTCTTAATTTGGGTTAATTGCGCCTAAAAGAAAAATTTAAAGTCACAATAACCTCATTTTTGTTATGTTTGGCCATGATTTTATAAGTAATATTGACAATAATAATGATGCAAAAATTTAATTTGTTCTGTAGAATAAAGGATCTAAAATTTTAATCACTAGCAAAATTTTTCTCATATCATAACTTACATCTTCCTTTGTGCAAGTGCTCTCTTTCTGGTGTGTATATGTTGACAAAATTATATTTAATTACTAAAAAAATAAATAGTTTTGAATATGCATGGATTTTAACTATAATGGAAATGAGAATTTTACTGATCAAAATAATGAAAAAATCTTCCTATGAACGAAGTGCAATACTTATAAATATGTTTAAAAAAGTTTGTCAAAATATTAGTTATATACAATAATTAAGTTACCACTATCCTCCACTATATTTTCCGTCTAGATCCGCTACTGGTTTTGAATTGGGAAGAAAACTAAGGTGGGAAAGATTCCATTCATTAAGATCCACAGTAAGTTCAACAAAACGAAGATATTATAACAGCTCACATAAAAACCATCTACCACCTAAGATTTTTTTCCATTAAAACATGCTCAAAACAGATGAAGGTCAAAAGGAGCAACATTAGAATTATATCATTAAAAATTGGATCTTGGAAGAAAAAAAAACTTTCAGCAAGTATAACTATTGCAGGCTTCCTTCCAAATCAAAAAGATTGAACATCAAATAATCACAATAGTACCAGTATAAATAATTGCAAGCAAGATAAATACAGCCTAAAATCTGTTCACGGCAAAACTATTATACAGAGGAAACCCAGGTGGAAAAACTTCAAACCATACAAGTGTATCAACAAAAAAAAAAAAAATCTTTTTTGGTGTAAACGTTTGACCTTGGTGGAAATTGTTGTAAGAATTATAGACACCTTCATAAAAGTTTTTATACAATAGTACTAACAATTACTCACCCGAGTTGGTCAACGTTCCCAGTATTATTGATTGGTGGATGTAAGTGGTGGGTGTCAAACCAACAAAAATAAAAGAACCTACTCATAACAGATTTAATAGTATAGTGATGAGTAGGGTCGTCTCCTCAGAGAGCAAGTAAGTGACAATATTTCTAATCAAAAGTAAAGTAACTAGGAAGGTTGTTTTCAGATTTGTAAATAATGACTGACAAAAAGAAATTACAAGTAATTAAAGATGATTTTCGAATAACAATAAGGAGAGAAGCTCTAGCCAAAGGAATAATATCCACCTTGATGTTTACAATTGATCCTTGATGCAATGATTAACTCAACAAACTATGAATATATTGTTTTTCGTTGTTGGAGCCTCCTAACAATTCAATCTTTTAAATTAAGCACCAGCGGTTAAGAAACCTTCGTTGACTACTCTATATCCAAAAACACTGTCTGGAACCTCCTACAACTTAGTATTCAACAATCAAATACCCAATTCAACTTCTAAATAAACAAACATTGCTTAGCTAAAAGTTGATAATTTATTCTCACAATACAATGATACTACTTACCAAGCAATTAATTGTATTCTTATTCTTAAGAACGGACAAACCTTGTTGTTCAATAAATTAGATTACTTAGGAAAAATTGAATGCTACCAGCTATCCAACTAGTGCCAAATAATCAACAATGCAAATCAAAGAGAATAAATAAATACTCACAACTAGTAGAGATATAGGAACAATTAGATCTCACAATTTAAATAACATCAAGGTTTCAATAATCCTTCAACTAGAAAAGAGAGTTTAGTTGCTACACGTATTGAGAATAACAACCAAAAAGTTCAAGAATAACGTTACAGAACAAGTAGAGAAGAAAACTGAGAGAATTCTGCCTGTCCGGAGTTTCAGATTTGCGTTGACTGCTCTCCCTCTCCTTGGTATTGTTTTGGCCGAATTTCCACCTCTATTTATAGGGGAGGATGGCTGAAAACTCTCCTAATAAGTAGGAGAAGAAATAAGATACAATAAATTATTCTTATTTTTACAAGATAATTTTCAAATTTTGCTCTTTTGACAAATCATCTCTTAACTAGCTAGAAAACGAATCTAGACCCGTTTATAGACTCAAAACATTAAGTTTATTTAAGGAATAGAAGTAGCCTCCAAGTAAAAGATTACTTCTTTGAAAAGAATCGTCTTTTTGAGTGTGAACACAAATTCTTATGGGAAACTTTCCTTCCTTGAGTGTGAAAAAGATTGCTTGACTTCATCCAGAAGAATAGGAATTTATAACTCCAAAAACTTGAGAAATACGCAATTAATTCGTCCAAAACCGCTGCTGCCCTCAAAGTTTCCCAAAATTGCAATTTGGTCTCTCAAGTTTGTAAACATTGTATTTTGGCTGCAAACTTTCTAAGTTTTGCACTTTAGTCCCTGGTCGAAATTCCAGCTTGTTCTTCAACATGATCACGTGCTATAACTCCACTTCTACCCATGAGCATAGATCTCTTAAACAAAAGGTTTGAAAGTCTCCAAAATCAACACTTTTTCATCCTTTTCGTCCAAAGCATCTCCTATAATCAAATGAAGCATAAAACACCAATATTAGCATAGATACCATCCAAAATAACACATAAATCACCATAAATATTACGCTAACATCGACCTTATCAGTAAGGGATTAACAACACCACCCAAAGTACTCCGGCGGGATCGGCAAGAGAACTGTCTATTATTATAGACTATAAATAGAAGAAGAGCTATTTTCCCTCCTTTTTTTTAGTTTTTACGAAACGACATTTAAAAGTTAAAACACCAACTATAATTACGTTATCTACATGTTGGAGTCCGTGATTAAGTCTTACGGATCAGCCCGTATTTTGGCCCAACATAAAGACCAATTTTTTTGGAATGAAAACAAAGCCTAATTGGCCTCGACTGCTATGCTTTTTTTTTTTTTTTTGAGGAAATCAAGTGCGAGTGTTTAGATTCAAAACAACAAAAAAAAAAAGTGAGAATGTTTTTTCGATGAAAATCGAGTAAATGTTAGGTTATTCTTTAGTTTTGGTTATAAATGGTGTTACCATGTTAGTGGAAGGAAAATTGAGTCCTATAACCAGTTTATTCTTTAGTTTTGGTTATAAATGGTGTTACCGTGTTAGTGGAAGGAAAATTGAGTCCTAAGGCTATAGAAAAAGCGAGTTAATAGCAAATAAATCTTTCTCTTAAAAATTACACTTTTACACTTAATTAGTAAAGAAACATTAGTCAGTATTAATTTTCACTATATTTTTTCACTAGCTGTATCATTGCTGTAAAAAAAAGAAGGGAAAATTTGGATTAAGGGCAGTAAGGAGTTTTTAATTAATAAAAGGGGTATAAGCTTTAGATAATATGGATTAAGGACGGTAAATTATTTTCTTAAAATCCTAAAATTAAATTGTTTATGCACTACCGTAACTACCCTTACTCTTTTGATCCTATCATGTTGAACTAGATTAAAAAAGAGACAAAAACCTTCTACTTATTTTCCAGCCGCGTGGGAATCCTCTCTCCACCAAATATTCATGTTCGGCATTTTTGCAAGATAATTATAGCATCCTCCAGTGAAACTAAGGCCTTTGCACAACAAATAGTTTCTCGAGTTGATCATAAGGCATCTGGTCCTAATCTTTATCAACAGAGAGAGAGAGAGGCGACATTGCTAGCTAGGAATTGAAGCAAACAATGCATACTATCTTAGAGGACGATGATGAGGATGAATTGATGATGATTCTGGAGGTGGGACTTAAATAAACTTGCTTACAACGAAAATAAATAATGAAGCTATAGTTAGTTTAGATTTTGTAGTATCTTACGATGGGGCATAAGTAATATCTTAAGTCCAATATCCAATAATCAGAGCGTATTAAGGCCCCCTAGAGATTTTTTTTTATGCACGCTTGTGCTGCATCTGATTTATGTTGTTGAAAGAACAGTATAAGTTAATGACATTGTTTTCGTTATTGAAATTAAATCCAGGATTTTTTGTTACGGGGAGTTGAGTATTGAATTTGATATAATTTATTTTCTATATGTAAGTTCTCATGTGTTTCATTGTGATCTTTTGTGATGTAGTCTATTTCTAAGATCAAATATTTCACATTCACTGTCAGGAAATGCACAAAGACACAACATATGAAAGACAAAGTGATTTTCATGGAAGTTTGAGATCATCAGAGGGCAGTGAAGATAAAGTTAGAGGCTTGAACAGACATCTTTGGAATCAAGAGATTTTCTTAAAGAAAAGGTTTAAAAACATTTTGCTTTAATTTTTTCCCTCAACGGTGATTGCTTTCTGTGGATTCCACAAAGGTTTATAGCTGTTGATTAACCACCTATTGTGTTTCTTCTGGCATTTGTGCAGCTTAGACAAGCTCAATCTGAAATAAAAATTCTTGATGACAACAAACGAGAATTGGAGGTTGGTTGAAGTTTGTATATGTTAATTAGCTTACCACATTATGTACTTTTAGTTTGTATATGGATTCTTAAACTTGTGATTCTTGTAATTTGTCCATGAAATTATACTGTATCACTTGGTTATTGTAATCGATCTCCTGTTTGCATATTGTTTCTTTTGTTTTTCATCGTTGTGATCCTTGAAAATTTGATTATTTTTGTTTGCAGAATTACCTGCAAGTAATGACTCTTGAAGCCGACAATCTAAATTTTGAGAGGAAGAGATAACTGAAGGAACTAAAATTTTCGGGGAGATAAACTTCCAAGGATGAAAGTGATGGTTTAGAGGTTTTAAGGTGTACTGCTTATATACTTATATGATCTTAAAAAACAGTGTGAAGATGAAAGATTGCATGATCACAGAGAGAGAAGAGTTGGAGCAACACATTAGAGAACGCGATGCAGCCAAGACTAAAAATTTAATCGAGCAAAGCTTAACAAAAAAAAAGAGGAAGCCACTTCCATTTTGGTGCATATAACCACAATAGAGGAAGCGATTCGGATATCAAAGCCTTTAGAGAGTGATGAAATGGACATGTTGAGAGTATTTTCAAGGCGGGAATACTTGAAGAAAAGGGAGCAAAAGAAGCTTGAAGAGCTCATGGATGAAATTGAAGATGACCAATACTTATTTGAGGGAGTAAAACTTACAGGAGCAAAATACCGTGACCAAAGATACAAAAAAGAAATTCACAAAATGGTTAGGAAGTAGACTCAAGAGAGTAATGATGTTGAGAAGTACAGGAATACTTGGTGGAGAGAAGATTCGCGTGCGGCTAAGAAAAAAAGTAAAAGGGTTTTGTCTCTTTTTTAATCTAGTTCAACGTGACAGGATTAAAAGAGTAAGTGCAGTTATGGCAGTACATAAACAATTTAATTTTAAGATTTTAAAAAAATAATTTATTGTTGTTAATCTATATTATCTAAAACTTAAACCCCTTTTATTAATTAAAAACTCCCCAATGTCCTTAATCCAAATTTTCCCTAGTTTGATTGAAAGCTCACGGCATCCATTCTTCAAAACAACTTCCAAACTTCCAAAATTTCATATGATTGCCGAGCATAGCATGCTGCAGGTGCAAAATTAATACATATATGTATCTGCTAACATTGGCTTAGATAGGACCCCAAAATATTCCTGTGATAGTTAGAAATCGGCCTCCTCCTTCATAAAGTTAAATACACTTTTGGCTGAAATAACCTTCACGCTTTCAACTTACTTTCCAAAAAGCGCCGACGATTCATTTCTCAAACAAACCACGCCTTTTAGTTCCCACTCCTTACACAGGCTTACACGATTACGTCTAGCTAGCAATGTAGTAATGCTACACTATCCTGCTCAAAACTCTTTAAAATTCACATTATCTGAATCGGTAAATTTTTTTGGCAGAGAATCAAAATATATGATGAGCCTATGTTTCAGTTCAATCCTAAAACCCTCAATTTCAACTTTCGAAGGGGATTCCCGATGGATGATTCCGACCCTTAATCGCTGCCATCTTCAACTCATTTTCCCAAAGCACCAAAATTTCAGTCCTTGCAAAAAGCACGGTTACTTGAGGGCTCTTCGAGAAGAGATTGGAGTCCTTTCTCCTGATGACACAGTTTCGGTTAGGAACCAGGCCCTTGTTGAGGCCGATAATATTGTTGCTGACGATGGAGTCCCGGTTTCTGCAGAGACTGAAGAAATTCCCCAAAGGCAGCCCAAAAGAATCGAGAGAAAGCAACAAGTTGAGGATGAAGATTCTGATGATAGGTACATTCTTAGAAACGGAAAAGAGGTAAAAAAAAAATTCTGGGTTTTTTTTTTTTCCTCCCCGTATTGTAACTTCCTTTTGAGAAAAGAAACCGTTTGTGTTGATTTTACCCTTTCATTTTAGTGTAAATTAATGATGGTATTTGCATATGGTTTCAACGTGAGGACTGTGTAAAAGTTTATTCTGTCATAAACTATACCATTACTTTTGTTTCTGTGTGAAACTGATAAATGATTTGGATTGTTGGTGGAGTTTTAGGTTCTCCAAGAAAAAGCATACTTGGTTGGTGTAGCTCGCAAAGGGGATACAGATGCTTTATTTGATATAGAGGATTCACTGGGAGAACTTGCACAGCTGGCTGATACTGCTGGGCTATTAGTTGTTGGCTCTACATATCAGAAGTAAGTTGTACAATGTAATGTGGAGGCCTCAAGAAATTGTTTTTTTAGTTTTTTTTTTTTTTTAACCTGAATTTGGTCTTTTAATTGGATATCCTTTATTTTTTATATCGTGATGCAGACTTTCCAACCCAAACCCGCGAACTTATATAGGATCTGGGAAAGTTGCAGAAATAAAGAGTGCGATTCAAGCATTTGGGGTCGAGACTGTAATATTTGATGACGAACTTTCACCAGGGTTGTTTCTTACTAACTTTTGTGTTATCTCATTATTCGTGTTTGAGTCGTTGATCCTTTCAATTCAAACTTCAAAGATATGATAATAGTTGCGATTACTCAATACTTTGTAATCTGCATTGTTAAGTTAATCTAGGTTTGCATTTTGTATGACAAAATTTTTTTTGCACAAAAGAGGAACACTGCTACAGCTGCTAAAGGGAAAAGAGATGATTGTTGCACCGATTGCAGAAACTACACCAGATAGCTTGAAATTTCTTGGTGTTTAAAAGACAAAAAAAGAAACCTTTTTTTTGTCTGTAAGTTTCCGAAATTGCAAGAATTAATATCTGACAGCTGTCTCTTCGTCATATTTTATAATGAATGTAGGCAGTTGCGGAATCTGGAGAAGGTTTTCGGCTTAAATGTCAGAGTATGTGATCGCACTGCCCTCATTCTGGATATTTTTAACCAGCGTGCTGCTACCCGTGAAGCTGCTTTACAGGCAAGTTCTCATACTGCTAAAATTATGTAAGTCATTGACAGGTCTTTTGCATCTTCTGGGGCTTAATATAACTGGCTAAAAATTGTTCAGGTTTCGTTAGCACAAATGGAATACCAGTTGCCACGGCTGACAAGAATGTGGACACATCTTGAGCGGCAAGCTGGAGGGCAGGTCAAAGGTATGGGTGAGAAGCAAATAGAAGTTGACAAGCGAATACTACGAACTCAAGTAAGCTTTTTGACTTCAGAGTTGTCCATGCTTGGTTTTCTGTTTTTTGTTCTTTTTTTTTAAAATTTTATGTTGTACAATCGCTTAACTTTTGAAAGAAACAATTTTCTTTTAGTCCCTTAGCCGTATATAGTAACATGAAATATATTTCCCTTCTCCGATCCTACTGATGTGCAGATCTGGGGAATGGTCGGGCATAAAGGCCAGGGGGCCTCACTGTTCCACCGGACTCTGCCTTGCCAGAGGCAGAGCTTCTGTGCAGCAGGGTGCCCTTTTATTCATCGCCTTCTACAATTTCATATTTGAGTATATCTTCCTAAATGTATGCCCCTATCAGCAGCTCTGGAGTAACTTCATAGGGAAGATAGTGAAATGGATAGCTTTGTTCTGTATCTAAAACTAATGAAAGAAGATAAAGAAATTATAATCCCTGTGAAATTGTTACCACTTCATTTTCCCTTGCCTTTAAAGCTGGGATTATTTATTTATTTATTTTTATTTTGATTGGTAGATTGGTATCTTGAAAAAAGAGCTTGAAACAGTTCGAAAACATCGAAAGCAATACAGAAGCCGACGTACATCTGTTCCTGTTCCAGTTGTATCTTTGGTGAATTATTTTTATTCACAAAACCCAGACTTCTCTGTAAATTATTTTTGGATAATGCAGCAGTCCGTCACAGAAGCTTCACTTGTAGGTTGGGTACACAAATGCTGGAAAGAGTACATTACTGAATCAATTGACAGGCTCAACAGTTCTTGCTGAGGACAAGCTATTTGCAACCCTTGACCCTACTACAAGAAGAGTACAGGTTAGTGTAAGGTGAAAGCCTTGAACTTGTGCATGCTCCTTAGTATGGCTAAAATTATTACTAGACACAGAGTTTTGAAGCTCTGACATCAATATTAGCAAGTACTTGCACAGACTGGAACCTGTTTAAACCCAAATTTGGAAGTAATCTGGCTGTTTAATTTGTACTTACATGTAAACTACAAATGTTGTGATAAGGTGTCATTGATCTTTAGCCCATAATAATTGACTTTACATACTGTCGCAGATGAAAAATGGGAAGGAATTTCTTCTCACAGACACTGTTGGCTTCATTCAGAAATTACCTACAACGCTGGTGAGTGTATTTAATCCTCCATTCTGATATATTGTGATTATATTTTATTCATCTTGGTGTCTTCGTAATACTTCTCTCCTGTCTGCTTGGAAATCATGTTGGCGCAATTAATACAATTGTTGGCTGTTTGTTCTAGGTTGCTGCTTTTAGGGCCACGCTGGAGGAAATTTCAGAGTCTTCACTTCTGGTGCATGTGGTGGATATTAGGTTAGTTATGAAGTACGCAATTACTTGAATATGAAGATCTTGGACTCTTAATCACCTATTTCTTTCTTGTTTAGCCATCCCTTGGCACAGCAGCAAATTGAAGCTGTGGAGCAAGTTCTCTCAGAACTTAATGTGGAATCTATTCCTAGGCTGATGGTCTGGAACAAGGTAGTGGCGTTCATTTAACTTTTTTGTTCCTTTTCAATTTTGTGTATTTGCAATTGCATTTTGAAAATGTCATCATCATCTTTCTAGGATGATAAAGTTCTCTTGGTCGTAAAAATTTTGATTATATGCATGGCTGGTTTTCATCCAAAAAACGAACATAAAACATGTGATTGTTTTGTTGTTGTCACTCCTGTCTCAGTGACCTGTGAGGCGTGAGTATTATAAATAACATGGATCAGATTAGCTATCACTTCATGCCAATGAAAATTTGTGTCTCACAGTTAGACTCTCCTTAAGTTGTGCACTTTTTTGACGCATCAAAATAAAACGAGTGTGGATTTCTAGTTGGCAATTGTTGTCAACAAGCAGTTTTCCTACTTTTCCATTTTTCTTTGCTTCTGTCTTTTGAGGATAATTTACAGATAATTTGATAGGTTGATAAAGCTGAGCATCCCAAAAATGTAAAGTTGGAAGCCAAGAAAAGAGATGATGTTATATGTTTATCTGCTCTAACTGGTGAAGGCGTGGATGATTTCTGCAATGCTGTCCAGGAAAAGCTGAAGGTGATCAACTCTCTTATAGCTTTACACTATGCAGAAGAATATATTATGTTTGTGAACCATTTTTTTTTCCTTTAATGGCCTAGTCATTTGTAATTTCGTGTCTGCACTGAAATGTTGCTGTTCAATGGTTCAGGATTCTATGGTATGGATTGAAGCTTTGGTTCCTTTTGACAAAGGGGAGCTTATAAGTACCATCCATCGTGTTGGAATGGTTGAGAAAACTGTAAGATCATGTCTTTCTGTACTTGTTGCTTAAAGAACTTTACACGTAAGCTAACTAATGTTCCTCCTGTTTTTGCTGTTAAATACTAGGAATACATTGACAAGGGAACTTTGGTGAGAGCCTATGTTCCTCTCCGATTTGCAAGGCTCCTTACACCAATGAGGCAGATGTATATATCCTAAACTGTGCCATGCCGAAACTAATTCGAACTGATCCCATGAATTGCCTAAACAAATTGGTGCTCACAAGAACAACTCTTGAACATGGAAACCAAATATCAAGGAGCAAACAGAAATCAGGCTGTTATCTAACTGCTCATACTGGCCCGGATCGAGATGTCAGATCATCAGGCAAGAAGAAAGCTTCTTTTCTACAGAGAGATTTGACTTCCTTCTTTGTAATTACATAGAGCTTGTATATAATTTCCTCTGTTTTCGAACCTTTCTTGAAACCTATAAGAAGCTGTATTTTTTGTTGATGTACAAATGCAGATTTGCTGATGTTTAATTATATGTTTGACCTGGTCCTCTCTGAGAACGCGTATGTACTTACCTGAACGTCCTGATCAAATGTATATCCCAATTCCATAGTTCTATGAGTGATAACTGTCATTGTGCGGTTTCATCATCCTCAGTTTTGCCTTCAGTGTGGAGGTCCAGTGATCTTAATTTATTACTGTTAATAGAAAGTAGAATCGTAGGTGCCCTTTTGAAAATTTTAATACCAACAATTGGCCCAAATTTGGGTAAACGGACAATGATCTAATAGGGCAATATATCATTAATAATTTTTCCCATGGAGCAGGTGAAACTGAAACCAAATACACTATCTAAAAATTCAAACTTCAGATCTTTCAAAGGTGCTGGAGTGGTAGTACAATACCATTGTTGACGATCCTTATAAGCTTTCCAGGCCACTTGGTTAGAGGATTTGGTGGCAGAGTGGTTAATTTTGCTACTACTGATCTTCCTATATATAACATGCATGTTTTTTTTAGTTTCATGCAGAGTAGAAAAACATATCACGTAGATTTGAACGCGTTTTTAGATACCTATGGCTTCTTTCAAGATCAAGGTTATTTGCAACCTGATTTTGATAGCTTTTCTGTATAGCAATCTGTCCCAGGCTTTCCCCGGAAAGGGATTTGGTCGGGGTGGCGCTGGTTACTCAGGTCTTTTCCCTGAGTTCTATCAGTTTTCATGTCCACAAGCTAATGAAATTGTCATGTCTGTCTTGGAGAAAGCCATCTCCCGTGATCCAAGGATGCCGGCATCTCTGCTGAGGCTCCATTTCCACGATTGCTTTGTCCGGGTAATGTAAAAGACTTCACAATGTATTTTTCATGATGAAGTGTGAAAAAAAAAAAAATGCTAACTGCATCTGTGATAATGCTGCTTTGCCTCATTAATCAACTGTATGTCTTCTGTTGTGCTGCTGAATTTTCCTTGCAGGGCTGCGATGCATCAGTACTGTTAGATGACAGCGCAACGATAGTAAGCGAGAAGAACTCAGGTCCGAACAAGAACTCCATCAGGGGATTTGAAGTGATTGATGAAATTAAAGCAAAACTGGAACTAGAATGTCCTCGCACAGTTTCCTGCGCTGATATTCTAGCCCTTGCTGCACGAGATTCAGTTGTACTAGTAAGGACCTTGGAACCTTTGTCCATCCTAAATTCCAATATGTAAGGTCGATTTTTACTAACAAATGCTAGTAAACATGGTGTAACAGAGTGGTGGACCTCATTGGGAAGTCTCATTAGGTAGGAGGGACTCAAGATCAGCAAGCTTGAGCGAATCAAACCGTGACATCCCAGCGCCTAACTCCACCGTCCAGACCCTCATATCTTTCTTCCAACGCCAAGGTCTCAATGAAGAAGATCTCGTAGCTCTTTCTGGTGGGTAAATTACTATATTCATTATTCAAAGCCCATTTATGTTGAAAGAATTCTGTATGCATTTCTATGTGAATGTATGGCTTGATTTTGAGGCCATGAACTTGTATAATAATGATACAGTGTCATTCTTCCAGGAGGTCACTCAATTGGGGTGGCTAGGTGTGTAACATTCAGGCAAAGGCTGTACAATCAAAATGGCAACAACAAACCTGATATGACATTGGAGAAAACATACTACAACGAGTTGAAAGCCGTCTGTCCTCAATCTGGTGGCGATAACAACATTTCACCATTGGACATTGCGTCGCCTGTCAAATTCGACAATTCTTACTTCAAGCTCTTGCTGTGGGGCAAAGGGCTTCTCACTTCTGATGAAGTGCTTCTGACAGGAAAAGTTGCCAAAACCATGGAATTGGTGAAGAACTATGCTGCAGATCAAGGCCTTTTCTTCCGCCAGTTTGCCAACTCCATGATAAAGATGGGAAACATAAAACCTCTAACTGGTTTCAATGGTGAAATCAGGAAGAACTGTCGTCGCATTAACTAATGAGGGATCCACCTCCTTGAGTATCAACAACTCCAAATGCTAAAGATGATGTTGAATGCAGAAGTTGAAGTGATGAAGAAAATGTAATTGCTCGTATTCAACTATTCATGTTTATCAGGGAAGTGATCTTCACTTCTCCAGTAAATTAACTAAAAGAAATTGAAGTTAATTTTCAATAAACTAATCCCACATTTCATGCAATCTATATACAACAACAAAAAGGAGAAGAACAAACAAGCGTTTATCCTATTCAAGTGGGCAGCTCATGGATCATATCTGACCATCATGCTCGGTCAATACGTTAAAATCAGAGAAAAAAAGATAGAAAGCCTTTAACCAAAATAATAATACTTCCTCTGTCCCAAATTAATGTCCAATTTAGATTTTACGTTTAGTTCAATTTTTATTAAAAATGAAAGTATAAACTGCAGAATAATTTTGGTACAGAGGGAGTAATAATAAGATCAGCAGCAGCGTACCAAACAGTGCAAATAATAAAGTAGTGTTTAGTATGTTCACGCCTTTAACCTTCCAAATAACATGAGAAGAGTGATAAACTCCACGACTTCAATGAAAATGAGTGCTAAAATAGCGCCTTCAAAGTCCACTCTTTCAGTATTAGATCTGTGACAAACTTTTTGACAATAAAAGATTTCTCTCACCAAACAACAACCGACATATGAAATTGCGTCAGTCCATTAGTTTACTTGCTCTGGATATTCTTGCTTAGATCTGCAAATTAGGCAGCTGTGAAGAAGAATCACGCGGACGAATGCGTATATATGCAAGGCAGGAATAGGATGTGGAAGAGGTTGGCGGCGGCGACGACGAGGAAACGATCCCTCGTGATTCTGCTATTTGTACTGGCACTCTTCTCTGCATTTGCCTTCTTCATCAAAGCCCTTCATGGTTCTTGCGATGTTCACCATTATGAATACGTTCACACCGGAGATAATTATCCCAGCCCGCTTACCCAAATCAGAATACAAGATAGCCCTCTTAGTTTCATGAAGTCCAAGCTCGTTCTTTTAGTCTCCCACGAACTCTCCCTTTCTGGTAACTCTTTTCCTCTTTGTTGTTCCTTTCATTTATTGATGTAATTTTGGGGGTTCTCCACCATCCAGAAGTTAGTTTCCTCCTGTTCTGAATTGAGTTTACTGTAAACGATTAAGTTCCTCCTGTTTCGAATTGGGTTTACTGCAAACGATTAAGTTTTGTGTCTAATTATTTGGTTGAGTTTGACAAAATTGATAGAGCAATGTGACTATACTTCGATGACCGTTTTGCGATGTTGAAAACTGAAAATACTGAAGCCAATTGTTTTGGATTTTCCCATTTATTAGGTGGACCTTTGTTGTTGATGGAACTGGCGTTCTTGTTAAGAGGGGTTGGAACCCAAGTTGTTTGGATTACTTATCAGAAACCTGTTGAATCTGATGAAGTGGTTTATAGTTTAGAGCAGAAAATGCTGGAAAGAGGAGTGAAGGTACCATAACCTCGAGAAACCTCCGATCGTATTTGTACCTCGTTTGGATACATGTTGTCAGATATTGTTTTTATAGTATTTTAGGTTTTGTGTTAGCAGCTTTTCGAAAGGGAAAATTTTTATTGGCAGATTATTGCATTGGGATCCACAGCGATCTTGATCTCACTTCTGTTTGTGTCCAGGTTGTTCCAGCCAAGGGTCAGGAGGCTGTTGATGTTGCTCTAAAATCTGATTTGGTTATTTTGAATACTGCTGTTGCTGGGAAGTGGCTTGATGCAGTTCTAAAGGGAGATGTTTCTCGAGTTCTTCCCAAGGTTTTGTGGTGGATTCATGAAATGCGAGGGCATTACTTTAAACTTGAATTTGTTAAGCACCTCCCTTTTGTTGCAGGTGCCATGATTGACTCGCATACAACTGCTGAGTACTGGAAGAATCGTACCCAAGAACGTTTAAAGTGAGAATATGTTATTTGATGCATGCTTTCTAATTTATGCTGGATAAAACAGGACAAAATAACCATATGAAGCGAAACTATTATACTGAAATGATTACCAAATGTATGGCAATGCTCTTAGATATGCAATTTTTCTCATTGAACACATGATCTGTACAGAAAAGACATAAAAGAAAGTAATAATAAGTTTCCTTCTGTTGTTTCCAATAAATGCAATTTACATTTGCATCTATGATGTTTTCTTTTTTATACAGTTCATTTCACCATTTACTGAATCTTTTCCGCAATCGTCAATGTCACAGGATTAAAATGCCTGATACGTATGTGGTGCACCTTGGGAACAGCAATGACTTGATGGATGTTGCTGAAGACAGTGTTGCCCGAAGAGTCCTCCGTGAGCATATCAGGGAATCACTTGGACTGCGAAAAGAAGATCTTGCATTTGCCATAATCAATAGTATGATCCCGCAAGCTTTAAAAAAAATACTTTTTCTCTGTTGGCCTGGTTTATGTGATGCACATAGGATGCTATACTTGGTTAAATGGAAGTTACTGTACTATCGACTTCGTTTTTTATGTTTATGTTTCATATGAATTTGCCTACCTTTCAGTATGCATCAGATTGTTTCATTTGTCTGTTTAACATTTTTTCAGAGATTGATTCTGATCAATAGCTGTTATTCCATAAAAATGTCCATGAATCCAGTTACTTTCTAAAATTTGTTAGACAGTAATGGGAGTTAGGCACTCACATGGTGAAATGTCTCTCTATAATTCTTGTTTGCAGTTTGTTCTTCACTGAAATTGGTTTTTCCAGTCCAAATTCATGTGTGAATATTTATTTTAGATCTGTACCTCCTGTCATAATCATTCAACAATTGTAGGTGTTTCCCGTGGGAAAGGTCAAGATCTGTTCCTCCGCGCTTTCTATGAAAGTCTGCAAATTATTCAGGAGAGAAAACTGCAGGTTCCATCAATTCATGCACTAGTAGTTGGAAGCGACATGAATGCACAAACTAAGTTTGAGACAGAACTTCGTACCTTTGTGGTGGAGAAAAAAATTCAAGACCGTGTACATTTTGTGAATAAGACTCTCAATGTGTCTCCCTACCTCGCTTCCATTGACGTTCTTGTTCAGAACTCTCAGGTACCTTCTGTTCATTATGTGTTTTATTGTTTTTTTCTCATTCGCCCTCCTATATATTTTATTGCCTCATCAGTCAAATTCGTTATCATGATTGATATTGTGTTTCCAGTTGTATATTTTCTGTCCCAAAGTACTTTCAGCGGAAATATCAGAGCATCTGTAATTTGATATGATTAAGTCAGTTATTTTTATAATTATGGAGAATGATGAGCCTTTACCATTTGTATAATTAGTTTTTACTTCTTAGATCAGATTATATCTGAGTCTAACTTCAGTTTTTCTTCATGTTTAGGCTCGAGGAGAATGTTTTGGGAGGATAACAATTGAAGCCATGGCTTTCAAGTTACCTGTGCTGGTGAGCCTTTTGCCTTTCAATAACTCCTTAATTGAAAACTACCCCATCCTAATTTCATCTAGAAGCTTATGGTAAATGGAGTTTCTTGTTCCCGCAGCTGAAGACCACCCACTTGTAATCCTGTGTTCAATTTACTAAGCTCTATGATTGATTATAACATTACTATGAAGAAATTAGTGTGTTATGTAAATAATCACTGAAAATGATCCTTTCTGCCCCTCCCTTGAAAGCTTTTTGTCATGAGTTTCCGGGTGGGCTATTAAATGGTGAAATATACTTGATCATCCTTTACTCTTTGGCCCTCAAATTCCAGTTATCGTCATTAGTTTGAGTTATTCCACATACTGTATATTAGGGAACGGCGGCTGGAGGCACAACAGAGATAGTGGTGAATGGAACAACTGGATGGCTGCATCCAGCAGGTAAAGAAGGGGTAACACCGCTTGCAGAGAACATTGTCAAACTGGCAACAGATGCGGGTATGAGGCGGAGGTTAGGAGAGAAAGGATACGAGAGGGTAAAGGAAACATTTTTGGAGCACCACATGTCGAGTAGAATTTCATTAGTTTTGAAGGAAGTTTTGCAGAAAGCAAAGAACAGTGTTTAAGCTTTTTCTGCCATTCCCTTTTCTTGTACCTCTCCGCATCATAACATTGGATCATTGATTACTCCACGAAATTTGTTGTGATATAGTAGTTTTCTAGTGTATATCTTCTTCTACAGTTCTACTTGTAATTACTTCAATTCAGATGAAAGCAGGGTAGAATATTGAGCAGATGTTATACAAAAGCAACCCATCTGTTTCAGGTCTTGAGTCATAATCTAAACATTGATACGAAATGTGACAAGTTCCAGATCACAGAGTAAAATGACAATCTAACCATCATCACCTAAGCAATTTAACAACCAAAATAGGTTCTGAATTTTGATTTGCATTCATTCAACCTTAAAAGGTCCACCGTACAATTTAGCACATTCAACAAGATTTTTTTTTCCCCCTTAACTGCAAGAAATACAAGACGTAGAGCAACCATAACTAGCCTTAATAGCCCTACAACTTAAATCTCTAAACAAAATAAACCCTAAACCAAAATAATACAGAACGATGACTTAAGCCCTTTCACCCCTAATTCTCCTGGCCAACTGAATATCCTTAGGCATGATGGTGACCCTCTTGGCATGGATGGCACAGAGATTGGTATCCTCAAACAGACCCACCAAATACGCCTCAGCAGCCTCCTGGAGAGCCGCCACAGCACTGCTCTGGAACCTCAGATCCGTCTTGAAATCCTGTGCGATTTCCCTCACCAGCCTCTGGAATGGGAGCTTCCTGATGAGCAATTCAGTGCTCTTCTGATACTTCCTGATCTCTCTCAGGGCAACCGTTCCGGGACGGAACCTGTGGGGCTTCTTCACTCCTCCGGTGGCCGGAGCAGATTTCCGGGCAGCCTTTGTGGCTAGCTGCTTCCTGGGCGCCTTTCCACCGGTGGATTTGCGAGCTGTTTGCTTAGTTCTGGCCATGGTAAGTGGAAAATTGGCGAAAATATTACTGAGAGGAAATTTCTAATCTGGGATTTTGATTTCGGATCATAATGAAATTGCAGAAGGGATTGAAAGCGGGGTTTTATAGGTGAGGAAGGGGGGGAAAAGGACGGGAATGAAAATTTGGCGGGGTTCATTTTAGAGCGTTGGATTTCGCTGAGTAATGAACGGTCACGATTCGGATTACGGTCCCCTCACCATTTGGCGGGATTGGATTTCGTTTTTTAACCGCGGAGAGAAAAAGAGCGGGCTTTTCTGATTTGTGGTAAATGGACCCTGGACGATATGGTGAAACTGCTGGGCTTCAATTGGGCTGGTTGGGGTTTTGCCTAGGGAATTTTTCAAGGTTTGAAGCTGTAATGGATATGGCGGTTAAGAAGAAGTCTTAATGCTGATTGCAGAGACGGAAACTCTGAGGAGATAAATGTAAGTTTTACACAAAGAGAAGTGCTGATTACATTTCTTCACTCATTTCCCTTTTATGTTTATTTGCTCGAAATTTTGTTGTGATATGGTTTTTCTAGTCCATATATATCATGTTGTACATTTTCATCACCCCTAATGCTATTATCAGACTAGTTGCAGGTATTAATCCACACTAAATCTCCTGTTTCAGGTGTCCAGTAACGTTAATACAATTTCAACCTGATAACCAAATGTCCACAAATAGAAGAACAGACAAATGAATCTACCTTGCATCTAAATGTTAACTGAGACCAAGCTGTGAAACACTTGGTTTTGATGACTCTTTGCTTTGAGGGCTTAGCTTGAATGGATCTTTTTGGCGGTTGAGGATGCCCGTCTTGATACCTTGTACATAACCATTCTTGCAATCTTGTAAAACCAGAACACACTGACTAGCTGCAATCCAAAAGCCATTGCCTACACACAACCCATTGCAACCTTTCTTATACAAATTGAAACAAGTGCAAAAATGATGTGTAGTTTGGTTCTGGATTCTGTAGACTTTCAGTAACAAGAGTGAATTATAGGTATTTAAGATCAATCACCTTAATTAGTAGGGGATTGTTGGCAGACAGAGTCACATAAGTTAGATATGGTCCACCTATCATTCTTGCACATGTAAACACTGTTGCAAACAAAACCTGCGGGAAAAAAAAGCCAGAAATTTGTCACAACAACAAAGCAAACCATTTGTGTATTTAACACTAAAATTAGGCCAGTAATCATGAACCTCTATCTAGGAATTGAACCATGCGTTAAAGGTTGATAGTAATGACAAGTTTGGTCACATTAATTTACTGATGTTTCAAGCAAGGAAAGGAACATGTTGGTTCAGATCAGAAGTTGACTAACATCAACAGCCAAGTTGAGATCAGTGTCTCTGTATCCCAGCTCTTTGAGCAGCTCTCTCAAGTGAAGAAATGGACTGGAAATCTCGGTAATCCATAAAGCAGCCACCATTTCTGATCCACACTACATCAGGAAAACCAAAAAAAAATGACTGTCAAACAGATCATAATTTGAGAAATTTAAGATCAAAGCTAAAGAAAATCACATAAAAAATGAGTGGCAGAGAATTATTTTTAGTACCCTTTGATAGGAAAGGCCAGCACCAAGTCCAACAATACTGACCAAATGATGGATGGCATTATCAATCTTGACATCTTTGTCAAAGGATGAACACACTAAATCATAGATGAGGTAAGCAACACTAACTGCCATAGCTTGCATCTGCACATTTTGATCCAAAATCAAAATGAACACTAACAAAAAGCTTCTAATTGTAGCAATAGTTCTGCACAATAAGGGAAAGAAATTCAAGAAAACTAAACAAAAGTCAACCCAACCCACTTGGTAAAAATACCAACCCTTTACAGGATTTCTTGAATTGTTCTCAGCAAAAAGAATTACCTGTTGTGGAGAAGACTTTGAGGCCAATGGAGAAACAGGGCTGCTCCAGTTTTGTACAGACAAAGAAGCCAGAACCACAGCCACAATTGCATGGGTTGTGGAAACCAGGCGATTGCAGAAATCAAAAGAACGATTCTGAAAAAGCCTTCTTGCTAACAAGAACAATGTCGTCCATGAAATCACTCCAAACACAAGGATGTTTATGACATAGTCTTCCATCTTCAACAAAGAAAGCAACTTTTTTACTAATTAATATCTGTACTGAAAGGAGCTCAGGCTTTCTCTAGAGAAGGAAATCAATGAAAAACCTGATCTTTAGATTTGCGTCTTTCCAATTATCATCAAGAAAAATGACATCTTTCACATCTGGTTAGCGGGTTGGGACAGATTAGGATTGTTGTGTTTGTAAGAGTTTAACAGATGCAGTTCTGGTATTTGTGGTCCGAACTGGTTGATATTTGAACTGTATAAATATGATAATAAATGCAGGTTAGTTAGCTGGGCAACTACTTGTATCGTTCAACAAACGATGATGGAAGAAGAACCCGTGAGGTCACTGAATAACTCTGTTCAGACATTTTTTGAGTTTTTTGACCATTAAAAAATTTGCAATCTACTTAGAATATATCAATGCTTTGTTGCGTCTTTATATTGGTAAAAAAATAAAAGTCATAGTAATACTCAATTCCATTTGTTTATTTTATTATATGTCAAACTAGATGTTAGTGCAATACACGGGGTTAACTAATAATTTCGTAATAATTTATTGTTATTATTTTATTATGATCTTACTTTTCCAATTATGTTATTGAAATCAAATAAAATGTTACAAAAATGGATTTGATGTCCAAATATAGTCGGTCAATAGTTCACTTGGTAAAGTTAATCTAAGAACTCAATATATTAGGGTATGGAGTTACTATAACAAACCAAATGTTAATATTGAACACCAATGTGACCCGTAAATTTATTATTATTATTGGATGAACTTTTTAATCAACAATAAAATATAGACCTAATTTTTATAGTTTAGTTAAGCTCAAAAGTTCTGGGAAGAAAAAAGAAGACAATATTTGCTTATACACACACACAAAAAAATAATAATAATAATAATAATAAGAACAAATTTATGACTACTCAACTCCAAAAATTATTCAGCTTCCTATTCTTTTTTAAACTTAAAGCAGAATATCATTAAATTTCACTAATTTTTAAGGGACAAGATAATTTACACAATCCAAATTTAGAGGACTTTTACACAATTATACTAAGTTTTATTTTGAAAATTTATAAAAAAAAAAATTACACTTCGGATTTTTGATGATGTGGCATTTTAGGGATAAATATTGTTTTCTCTCTCTAATTTCTCTCTTAGAATATATACTATAGATAGACAGATTTGATGGGGTTTTGCCAAATGCCATTTCCATCCAACGTAAGGAAAGTCATTCTCACAGTTTTACAATAAATCAATTTAAGAAGAAGAAGAAGACACATGACAGACAGTTCAGCCAAGAAGCGGTGGGGCCTTTTAGTTGGTGGCACGATTCCTTTAGGTCCTCCATCTTTAGAAAAAAGGTTACTTTAGCCTTCAATCTTTCGTTATTGGTACATTTCGTTAAAATCAGGAACATAATTTGCAAACTGCCGCTACTCTAGCTAATAATAGCGATACCCCTGTAAAGGTAAGTGTTAAACTGCACCAATCATCGGTAGCTAATAATAGCGATACCCCTGTAAAGGTAAGTGTTAAACTGCACCAATCATCGGACAAAAGTTTCAAAATTTCCTAAAATGTGGGGATCGGGTCGTGATTTATTGCAAAGTGCTTGAACGTAATGTTGATGATAATCTATTAGTTTATCAACAATTACCGTACTTATAGCAAAGTAATTGTAGGTATCATAATAATATTCGAAATGCCTAAGATGTATAGTGTTAAAATACTAAATGATCACTCTTCCCACTAACAGAGGATCTATTATCTAAACACCTGTAAATTGAAGCGCAAGCAAAACTTTATATTCCTTGCAACAACAATGAGGATTAAGGAATTCCTTCCTAACCACCACAAAAAAAAAGGAAAATTTTTTGAAGAAGTAGACACTAAAGACGAAGCTTTAGAATACACTTGGGTGGATGATGTTTGGCTTATAGGGCTAGCTTGAATGGACCTTTTTGGTTGAGGATGCCCATCTGGATAGCTTGTACATAACCATTCTTACAATCTTGTAGAACCAGAACACACTGACCAGTTGTAGTCCCAAAGCCATTGCCTATACATAAAATCTTTGCGTAAGTAGACTAACTACAAAATATGATCTGCTAATAACTCTGGAAGGAAACAACTGAATGAAGTTGCTTAAACTGCAGATTTTGTAAGTGCAACTGAAATATGGCATCTCAGATGAATAATCACCTTGATGACTAGAGGATTGTCGGCAGTCAAAGTAACATAAGTCAGATATGGTCCGCCTATCATTCTCGCGCATGAAAACACGGCCGCAAACAAAATCTGTGAGGTGGGAAAAAAAGATGTAAGAAACACTGTTAAAGAGTTTATACCAATTTGAGTTGAGAACCAAATTAACAGTACCATTAAGCAATTCTGAGTATCTTTTAAATTAGGTTAAAATATTACTGCTTTCTTTTAGTCCCCAAGATAGGATTAAGAGAAGAGATGCGAAACTAGTACTAACATCAACAGCCAAGTTGAGATCAGTGTCTTTGTAGCCCAACTCTTTGAGGATCTCTCTTAAGTGAAGCAATGGAGTAGAAATCTCTGTAATCCACAAAGCAGCCACCATTTCTGTTCCACACTAACATCATAATTGAAGAAACTTTAAGATCAAATAAACTCAGAACAGAGAAAACAGAGAGAAGGAATAAGAATGAAAGTAGCTAGAGAATACTAATAAAGTTTTTTAAGTACCCTTTGATAAGAAAGTCCTGCGCAGCCTCCAACAATACAGACCAAATGATGTACAGAATTATCGATTTTCACACCATTGCCAATGGTGGAACACACTAAATCATAGATGAGATATGCAATGCTCACTGCCAAAGTCCGCATCTGTAGTACAGAGTCATTTAGTACCAAAAAGATTTGATTTTTTTTTTTTTTTTGGTTTTGATTTGAGCAGATATTCATTAGAGATTATTATTACCTGCTGTGGAGATGACTTTGAGGCCAGGGGAGAAACAGGGTTGCTCCAATCTTGTACGGACAAAGAAGCCAAGGTCACACCAACTATTGCATGGGTTGTGGAAACCAGGCGGTTGCAGAAATCAAAGGAACGCTTCTGAAAGATCCTTCTGGCTAACAAGAACAATGTCGTCCATGAAATCACCCCAAACACAATGATGTTTATCAGATAATCTTCCATTAATTGATCGTCAAACGAAACAACCATCCAACAAGTGATTCTAGTATTTCTCACTGAAACAGAAACAAATTAAGAAGAATATAAGATGCATAAGACTATGAGCCCTTTTTGTTTCTGCGGGTTTGAGGTTCTCTTGGCAATTTGCATCAGGAAACGTCACGTCGGGTTGGGACAGTTTAGGATTTATAGTAACAGTTAACAGATTTACGAAGAAATTAATGATCGTGGCCCGCAACCATTGGAGATTTGAACTGTACAAAGTCAATTTAATGAGAAAGGGTTGGTTAGCTTAGCTGGGCAAACTCCGGCCTTAAGCCATCTGTGTAGTTATTTCGAGTTTCAACTACTTCTTTGCATTGTTCCTGAGGTCATTGAATACCTCTGTTCTTACAATTTTTTTTACCAAACCGACTATATACTCCCTCCGTCCCATAATTATTGTCCAATTTGAGTTTTCATTTCTTGTTCAATTTATATTAAAAGTGAAATCTCAAATTATACAATAATTTTGAGATAGAGGGAATATCACCAATCATCGTCAAACGTAAGTCTCTTAAGATAATTAATACTTTTTTTTTTGGTGCATAAATTAATCCACGTACGTCTCTGGAAATATCAAATTGTCAAAACACTTGAACGTGAAACAAGAGGTCATTTTAACGCCTCCCCAAGTTGCCCATCTTACAAGTAAACTACATATACGTTTATCATTGGTTATTGAACTTATTTTCTTTACCATTATAATCCATTCAAGACTTGCATAATTTTGTGTCATAAGACTCCACTAATTTATGCTGTAAATCCTTACATCATTATAACTCCCCTCGAAAAGGGTCAAATTAATCTGTGTGATGTTCGTATCAAAAACTTGGATTACTTCATAGTTCGGATACCCACAAAAAAAAAAGGGAACTAGTCGGTATTTATAAAGTCTTTTGCATCATTATCATTAGTGTGGACCGAACTAATTATTAATTATTGCATCAACTAAGGACTGAGTGATTTGAAGTGTCAATTTGGACAGTTGAGTGAATACGACTACTGAAGTCTCTCGTACCTGGGCTTCTGAACTTCAATTATCAACTCTGATTCGCCAAATCATTTTTGGGCTTGGTCCATTTTAGTCTCTCATTGAACGAAATGGAAGTGGGTACCAAGCCTAGTTAAAGAAAAAGGATTCTTCTCAAGCAGAACCAAGTCCACCATCCATCAAATTTTTCCCAAAAAAACCAAAGTGGTTGTGGTGGAGTCGAAGGGACTCCTCTATCTTTAATCATAGGTCGAGGGTTCAAACCTCGCCATGGGTATGGAGCAACCTTAAATACTTTGGCCAGCTATCCTACCCATCGAGATGCTTACAATTCCGCGACGGGAATTAGTCGCACTGATACCGACAGTAGACACCCTGTAAATATGCCAAAAAAAAAAATCCTCGAAAAACGTTAAACTCGTTTGTAACACTATTAATCTTTACACTATATACTATACTTTTTGTTTTCTTTTATTTACGAAGAAAGCCAAACGCTTCGTTACAAAACATCTCTACGTAATTCTGTAGGATTATTGGATTCTTTCTAGTTGCGAGTAAGAGAATTTAAATTTCGTTAGGGCATCGATGACATAATTATTTAGCTCTCGAGGTATGTCCCATTGAAACTTGCCAATCAAGCTAAGTAAATATTTAATTCTAAAATAAACATTGTTATTTACAGTGGCGGATCTATAAACTTTTACCCGCATGTGCACACTTATATCTCAAGAAATTTTTTTTCTTAACTATACTTACACAACAAAACATTAGCTACAAGATTGAAGTTTTACATGAAAAACCGCATATTTTTTTTATGTGCTTAGTAGATGATCATAGTAAATTTATAACCAAAACAAATTAAATTCCGGCCGTTGGGTGTGCTCCGGCTTCTCCGGGCCACTATACCAAAAGTAGAGTTCTCGGCTGATTAATACTCTACTGCCTCCGGGGAATTTATTTGTAACTATATTCTGAAAGCTTAAATCCCAAGCAATTTGATTATATACTTTTTTGTTTTCTTTTGCTTACGAAGGAAGCCATACGCTTTGTTATAAACCATCTCTACACAACTGCGTAGGATCATATTTAGATTCTTTCTAGTTGCGAGTAAGAGAATCTAGATTTTATGAGGGTGTTGGCGACATGATTGTTTAGCTCTTGAGTATATTCCACCGAAACTTACCAATCAAGCAAAGTAAATATTTAATTCTAAAACAAATATTGTTATTTACAAAAGTAAAGTCCTCCACTGATTAATACTCTACCGCCTCTGAGAAATTATTTGTAACTGTATTCTGAAAGTCTAAATCCCAAGGAATTTGATTATATATTTTTTGTTTTCTTTTATTTACGAACGAAGCCATACGTTTTGTTAAAAAACATTTCTACGTAACTGCGTATGATATGCTTAGATTCTTTCTAGTAGTGAGTAAGAGAATCTAAATTTTGTTAGGGCATCGGTGACATGATTATTTTAGCTCTCGAGTATGTTCCACCGAAACTTGCCAATCAAGCTAAGTAAATATTTAATTTTAAAACAAACATTGTTATTTACAAAAGTAGAGTCCTCGGCTGATTAATACTCTACTGCCTCTAGGGAATTTATTTGTAACTGTATTCTAAACGTCTAGATCTCAGGCAATTTAATTATATACCTTTTGTTTTCTTTTATTTACGAACGAAGCCATACGTTTCGTTACAAAAGATCTCTACATAACTGCATATGATTATGCTTAGATTCTTTCTAGTAGCGAGTAAGAGAATCTAAATTTTGTTAGGGTATTGACAACATGATTATTTAGCTCGCGAATATGTCCCACCAAAACTTGCCAATCAACCTAAGTAAATATTTAATTCTAAAACAAACATTGTTATTTACAAAAGTAGAGTCCTTGGCTGATTAATACTCTACGACCTCGGGGGAATTTATTTATAACTGTATTTTGAAAGCTTAAATCCCAGGCAATTTAATTATATACTTTTTGTTTTCTTTTATTTACAAACGAAACCATACTTTTCGTTACAAAACATCTTTACGTAACTGTGTATGATTATCCTTTGATTCTTTCTAATAACGAGTAAGAGAATCTAAATTTTGTTAGGGCATCGGCGACATGATTATTTAGTTCTCAAGTATGTCCCGCCAAAACTTGCCAATCAATATAAGTAAATAGTTTATTCTAAAACAAATATTGTTATTTACAAAGTAGAGTCCTCGATTCATTAATACTCTATCGCCTCTTGGGAATTTATTTGTAATTGTATTCCGAAAGCTTAAATCCCAGGCAATTTGAAGACCCAACATGACACCAGTGTATCTATAACTGTCGGGCCACATGACTCTAACACCATTTTCACATCATAACAGTATCTCAAGAGGAAAGAACAGAAAAAATTTCTTAAGGAAAAAAAAAGGGAGCAAAAAAAGAAAAGTTTGGTAACAACATTAAAGCAATACTGTTTCAAATTTTTGACTAAGTGTATATGGAATTGAATTTGTAATAATATCACATCAGGCTTTATGTGATTTTCTATGTACAACTTGTGTCATTTTTTGGTCGAGATATAGGTAGACCTTTAAGTGTTATTATAATGACAAAAATTGCGAAATTGTCTAGCAAACTTTTCAAGAATTTATTATGTACTAGTAACACTTAATAATAATATATATTTTCACCATTAAAAATTATTATAGGGAGAGCACCATTCCACTATATATATTTCTAGATTTGATAATAAGAATCTTTATTAATTTTGAGAAGTACAAGTACAACCATTATTTTTTGGTACAATCAAATGAAGAGAGTCTTCTTCTCAATATTCATTTTTCATACATGTCCCTATTTTACTTCAAATTAACTTTGCCAGTTGTAGTTTTCAAATAATAAATCCGGTTCTAAATATTGAAATATGGTCCTTTCTTTGATTTTTTTTTTAAAATACTTATTAATTACTTAAATGGACAAGGAGAGTAGTCAACAATTAGTGAAGGTACTCTGTTAGTTTTGTTGTTTTCGCGTGAATAAACTGCAAACTGACACAAACCCTTTGTGAGCCACTTATGGTTTCACACTGGTTGAAGAAAAGGGATTATTCTGGTCAAATCACATATAGAAATGATGATGTGGTGGCAAACTTGCTTTGTGAGTTTAATGTAAATTACACCTTTTACCTAATAATGCATCTCAATATTCAACTGGTTTTTCTTAGTTTTAAATTTTACTGATCAAAACTATCACGAGTTATGTTCGTTGAGTTGTTATTTCGAAAAGCAAATTAATAAGAGGTGTCCCTGTTTTAAGACGGAGCGTGTAAGAATGAATTACAGCGGTTTGCTGATTGCAACGATGCACTTTTTTGTTTGTTTCAATTTCATGTCAAAAGGGGGAGATTTCGAAACGGAAATTGAACCACAGAAACAGCAAAGAGGTTTACAGATATTTTTAATGTAATTAATCCAATCATCTTATTCCATTTCCTGCAACAATAGAATCATAAACAAAGCACATAATAACTAATAAGCCAATTCCACCACTTTTTTTTTTTTTGTTTTTTCCCCATTGATATTGACATCCTTCCTAAAGAGCAATTTCACCATCATATTAAACTCTTCTCAGATGCTGCTCAACTACCACCACTAAGTAAATGGCTTAAAAACAAGTTACTATATAAATTTTAGGTGGCTATAGGCTACTCATTAACTCCATTGAACTACCACCAACAATTCCTTGATGCAATCATCAATAAATCAATAATGAAACATATCAGCAGCAGCAGCAGAAGCCATGATTGGTTGATTAGGATAGATGGAGTTCCACGGATTAGTCATGAAGGTTTCAGGATTAGGCTGAAGATGATGATCCATAATACTACTACTCTGAAACATCATTTCATTACAGTTGTTGTTGTTGCTGTTGTTACCGCCATTGATGTAATTCAAGATCTCATTCAGGGACTCAAGTCGTTGACTCAGTTCCATCATCTGAGCTCTGAGGACAGAGTTATCAGCCTCAACGTTCAAGTACTGTTGGGTGGTGGCGCTGATGGTGGACAGGATTTGGCTGTTTTCATTGCTCAGTTGAGCCACTTGGGCCGTCAGATCATCAAGATGCTTCTGTTTCCTCATCCGGGATCTCCTCGCCGATTCCCTGTTCGATTGCATTCTCTTCCTTTTCCTTTGATCCATCAATAGTTGCAGGTCTCCTTCAGATCCAGAGTTCTGAATCTGACTGGAAACAGAACCTGATGAATTTCCACTAGAGGATGCCATATGGGCGATGATTATTTAACACAAACCGAAAAAGCTTTTTATATATACAAAATTATTATTAAAAAAAAAAAAAAAAAACACCCAGAAAGACGCAGGACGCAAAAAAAGCTACTTATTTTATTTGGATCAAAACTCAATACTTCAAAAGAGATGTTTATGAGAAAACATAGAACCAGTAGAGGAAAACAACTGAGAAAGATTGAACAAGATGGGTCCTGCGCCTCAGTGAGGAACTTATCATAAAACCGGAAAGAAGGACTTCACTAAGAACTGGAGACATGTGTCTCAAAAAATAAATGAAACAAAATACGCAGCATCAAGATTTATGAAAGACACAAAACAAGTCTCCGGGAACAGAACAAGTTTTTTTTTTCAGGGATATATCAGATATCACTGGAAAAACCTACAAAGATCGAAACTTTATATAAGGTAAATCAACTGGGTTTTGAGGAATTAGCACAGAAATGGCTTTTAAGAACTGGAATCAAACTATCAGAACTTTAAGACAACCGAAAAATCAGCCCAGAAAGACAGAGCCTTAAATAAGAAGGAAAGCGAAAAAAACAGAGGGGATTCGGGAAGATCAAGGAAGATCTTTTTAAGAGGAAAGCAAAGAGGGGAAAGAGAAGAGGTTTGTGAAGGAGAGGAGTAGCTGATTTATAGCACAAAAAAGGGCAGCCATGAAAAGGAAATGAAATAGAAAAATGGGAGGACCAGGATTTTTTATGAAATTAAAAAATGGAAGAAAAAGTAAGAGAAATTGGAAAAAAGCGAAAAGCTTTGGAATCTCTCCCGTAAGAGTTTGTTGGGGGAAGGGAGTGATTAGTGATGAAGCATGTGAAGGGTGGAGACGAAATTTCCACAACCGTCCAGATTTGAATTTCCAGCTGTATCGAGTAATAGTATGTAGGAAGAAGACGACACCATAGATTTGTACGTAGTACTTATTTATAAAGACTTAATTTCCAGGGGCATCCCTTTAGTATTGTTAAACTAACAAATCATCCTCTCCTGATTAAATTAAATTCCGATCCTGGTGATTTTGACTCTACGTATAGTAACATCATTAAATGCTAAAATATTTTTATAGATGAAAATATAATTTGCAGGAATAAATAAATTACACTAGTATCTGTATCATTTATGGATATTTATTATCTTTTCCATTCCAAAATTAAGATCACGTTTTGTTCGCGTACGTAGTTTGAGAGTTGGGACTTGGGAGTATGACGTTGCTTCATGAAAAAGGTAATCCTAATTTTTGAAAATATGTAGGATTGGATCTTATAGTTCTTCTAAGTTTTGGGGGGAGGTTGGAATTAATGCGAAAAGAATGCAAGCATGCAAATCTGACAGACTGTATTTAGTTTGGTTTGAATATCTGACGCCTTGATTTCACCACCACTTTTATTTTGGTAGTAAATGATTTTGTACTGTCTTGGTTACTGTGAGCGTTGAACAAATTTTAAAATTTGGGTTAAAAGCTGCCAGCCACACTGTAAGTTGAGATTCTTTGAGAATCTTTAGATGATGCTCCTCAGTAATGGTGAAAGTGAATTTCCGGGTTAAGATAATGGTGATGACCTCCCCAGGTTGAAATGTGACACCCCCTTTCTTGCTGATGAATTTGCTAGTCTGTATCCACTGGTTTTCTGGAAATTTTCATTTCACTGGCTTTCTGGAAAGTTTAATGAGAAAGAAAATTTTATAATTTTGCTGCCCAAAAAGAAAATAAACAAATAAAATCTAAATATTCATTACCCCTTTCATCTCATAAAAATCATCTTTTATATATCGATTTGTGAATTATACAGAAAAATAGTCTATATAATTTTTGAATGACTACGTGTTTATAACAATTCATAAATTAAAACGCGAATCATTTTTTCTGAAAGAGAGAAAATACTTTAATGAAACCATTCTGACCTGTTGACTACATGTTCATTTAAGAATATCCATTAAAGTTTTCAAATTCCATTATAGTCATACAAGAGTTAATGGAAATGAATAAAACTTTTTTTTTTTCAATTGATTATTCGGAAAAAGTGAGACACTAACGTAATTGAGCTAGGTTGGAGTAAATTTTCACATTTTGTCCATTTGAATCTTTGACAACAATAATAACGTGTAAAACTATCTATAAACCACTACTTTCTTGGTCCAACTTCCTTTGAATTTCTGGACATATTAACCACGTATTCTGGAGTTCCGATCAAACGGCTATTAAACAACACTTAACAAATTGGATTGTTGTTAGGTTCTACATATCCCATACGATGCTTTTTACGTGCAAAATTAGATTTTCCTTCTTTGAGCAAATATTAAAACCCATAAGCAAATCAGTAATGCGTTTCAAATTTGAGAAATTGTTGCTCCGTTTGGAACTATGTTTAAATCATTGGAATCCTTAAATTAATGATCTGCTGTCTTCAGCGGTAGTTACAACCAGATATTTTGGCCCTTCTTTCATTTGAGTGCGTCTCTCATTTTAAGATAGAGCGAGTATACGAATTTTATTCGTTAGCGTTTTGAAAATAAAATGTCATGTTTGTGTCTGTGTTTTCTTTATGCTAGCTCGTAGTGGTCGAACGCATATACATGTCCATCGATCATTACTAAAATCATTGAAAATGAACCGAACCAAAAATGTTCTTTGGCATATTCTGTTTTGATCTGATTAATTTTGGGCACTATATGGAAAGCTTTATTGATAGATGTGTATAATCTTTGATGCGCACAAATTAAAATGAGATGCCACACACAAGCCACAATTAGTGGTTCTCGAATTGGATTCTGCCTTTTAACTAAGAGGACTAACCAATTAATCGGCTTGTTTTTGGGGCAGCCCTTCCCATTTTAGTGATGTGCTTTGGGCATTATGTGCTTTAAGACGTGATCAACACCCTTCTTTTGTTGCCCTTCTCTTTTAATCCCAACATTTATCTTTTTTTTTAGGTTAGTTTCATTTTGTTTATGAAGATTGGAGGGCTATTAGCCTATGAATAACCACAAATGTTCAAGGGTTTACAGGACTAATATTCTCTAACATCAGAAAGCAACTTTATTCTCAATCTGACTTTCTTTTTTAGTGCCAAATTCATGGAAAGGAATATAGATCATACATTATGTTGTAAAAAGGTGGGTGATCGTCTTGTGTACATGCAATTAATGTTGTACGTACTATGAGGATGTTGACTGATAACTTTTTTTTTTTTTTTTTGATATACTATTTGTTGATGAATTAGTTTACCAAATGAGTAGGTATTGTGTTTTCTAATCAGTGATAAACCATGAAAAAATGAAACGCTATTGGTATATCCATAGATTATTCCAGAACTGATACTCCCTCCATTTCAAAATGTAGGTCGTTTTAGGTTTGGAGAAATATATCAAAATGTAAGTCGATTTAGAATTTCAAGCCAAATTGAAGATTAACTTCCCAACTTTGCACCCAATAAATGATGTTAACCACTTTTCATCTAGTTTTAGTTATAGTTTCAAAATAATTGATGATGGATAAAATAGATATTTAACACATAAATTAATTATTAAATAATTTTTTTCTTAATTTACGTGCAGAGGTTAGAGTGATTCATATTTTGAAATGGAGAGAGTAATTAATACGAAGGGAAAAGTAGTGACCATTTTCTCAATTGCCTAAACTGAGGTTGAAAAATATTAGGATCAAACCAATAAAAATCAGCTCGTCATGTCGTCGAGGAACGCTATATCTAGCTAGTGAACCAATTGGAACCAGGTTTCGTGTTTCGACTAATTAAATTTGTAGTATAATTTTGGCAATGATAAAATTCGGATCGTGCCATATTCGAATACAAAAAAAACATCATTGAACTCATATTGTCCGACTCACTACTCATAACTCTTAAGAGCCAAAGTCGCGAATGACAATATCCATCCATATCTTTCAAAGTTATACAGTAATTTGTGTTACAAATTTGACATAAGTGATATATAATCATTAATGATATAGAGAGACGGCGGGAAGAATTTAAGGAGGATTCTTCCGGGCAATTAACCGATAGCCGTAAGTGATTTTCTTCAGCTTGAAATTGTAAACAGGTTTTAAAAAGAGGTAAGAGGTTGATGGCTATATGTACCTAACCATTAAGGTTAGAGGATATGCCATTATAATTGGTGTAGTTGGTATGATATGATATATAGGTTATGCAGCCAGTGAAAGCAGCATTCAATTATCACTCCAAAAATATTCAAAGAGATTATAAGTGGACTTTTCAGCGGCAGCTATATATTTACAAAATTCGAACTAAAAATTCTAAGTAACTCAAAAGTGGAGTGATCTGTGGCCTAACTCCTCCAACTACGTTTGTATGTATATTACGCCTAATAAGTCCATAATTACTGGTCCCAAAGGAAGGGCACTCACCTCTACTTTGCACATGCCTTAATATAATGGTAGGGACCTTGTGTCCCATAGAATAATTAATCTTCAATTAAATTTAATTACCCCCTGAATTATAAGCTGGAATGTTGTCAAATTGTGAACTGAAATGGAGTTCCCGATCTAAATGTATCTCAATTTTTCTTTTTTAAAATTAGATCTCGGTTGAGATTTTCCTTTTGGTTATGTTAGATTCCTTCATCACTCTTTAACTTAAACATAAAAAACACACCGATTCTTCTTCTTTAATAATATACACCAAGGAATATTATACAAATCTCCAAAACGGACAAGTGCTCTTTTATGTTAAGAATAAATCAAAAAGTCAAACAGAAGAATGGCGTTCATTTTAGGAGTTTATTATATACAGCCATTATTAGGCGTCTAAGGTAATAGGTTGAATTGGTCAAGAAAGTATTAGGAGTTTTTCTTAATTATTATATGGTCCCATTAAGCAGTTTTCACTTTTTATTATTATCAAACCCTGAAAGTAGCGTAAACTAAAGATTTCTTTTTTCTTTTGCGATAATCATATTTAAATTAAAAGAAAATAAATTAATCATATGCTTGAACAGTACAATACAAGTTGAGCAACATAATTCGATAATTGTACTATTGCAATATGTCATACAGACTTCTCGACCCGCACGGGAATAAACTAGCCATCGCTGATCATACATTACAGTTCTAGAAACCAGTTGATTATACACTACAGTTCCAATAATTTCTATAAATTCATTAATCTCAAAATTAATACTAACGATACTAAATAATCACATCTCTAGCACGATATTTGTTGCTTAGACAATATGCAAAATAAACTTCATCTTGGTTTCTACTTTGTTTAGTTAAGTGTATGGTGCGATTGTTAAAAGTTAGCGGTAAGTAATGAAAATTTACCCCAACCTACTTGAGGTTTCAATTGTTCAAATAGATACAACCAAAAGAGAGTGCAATTTGGGGGGTGTCTTTTGCGCAGAAAAGAGATATTCGGTGGTCGGTTTGAAAAGGCAGACAAGGACCAACTTGCTGACACTTTTCCGCATTAGCAAAAAATAATAATGCATGGGTGTGGGGTCCTGCCTACGAACAACAAAAGAGACAGCACAATTTTGTATATATTACATTATCGCCCCGTATGGCTGCACATGCCTTCGCATTTTTTGTGATTTAAGTACAATTATACTTTACTCACATTTACCTGGTGTTGATTTAACTCATTTTTTACATTTAATTTCGAAAAAAATATATCTCTATTAGTTATGTTTGTAAATGTCAAAACTTTTATTTTAAGGTTTTCGACTCTGTCGCTCATGTCTCAATCTCAAGATTATACAATTTCGATCACAAAATTCAGAATCATAAAATGACTAGCTAACTCATTTGTTAATAGCAACATGCGAATTTGATCACACAAAACATGCCATCGATCCGAATACTCTACATCTGAATTTAGAAAAACAGATATTTTTGCAACCTTTAATATT